TTGTTCTAAAAATGAACGATATTCAAATTATTTAACTAATGAGAACTATAGATAGAAAAGTAAAAGCAAGGAAGCAGGGCTTTTTGCACTGATCATTATGTTTTTATAGTAAAATGAAGTTGCTATTTAAAGGGACACTATGTGCACTCAGACCATCTCAAGTGGTATGGGTACAATATCCCTGTCCCCAAGCCCGGACTGGACATTGGGCAAACCGGTGGGCCTCAATGTCCAGGGGCCGAGGCCAACAGGGGAGATCAAGGGATCCTTCCAGCCAGCAACTTTAGGGTTGGTGCTTCCTGACCTCCAGCCCATAGAAGGAGCTCTAGATCTCTCTCACACTCCACACTGCATGCTCCCTTGCTCTGTGCAGGCTGTACAGCCTGATGCACTGTGCGGAGCACCAGATACCTCCATCCATTGGACCACCAGGGAATATGATTCCTCCCCGGCTCCTCCTCCTCCTACCAAGGCTCAAGGAAAGGAAGTGGCATGGGCGAGTAAACCCGGCAGCCCTTGTCCCCCTCACCCAGCAGCTCCCTCTCACTCAATACCCCCTACCGCCTCTCACCCAGCAGCCCCTGCCCCCATCTCACCCAGTAGCCCCACTCATCCAGCAGCCCATGCCCCCCTCACCCAGCAGCCCCTCCCCCTCTCACTCAGTAGCCCCCTCTCACCCAGAAGCCCCTGCCACCACTCACCCAGCAGCCCACTCACCCAGAAGCCCCCTCTCACACAGTAGCCCCAGCAGCCCCCTCTCAACCAGTAGCTACTGCTCCCTCTCACCCAGTAGTCTCTGCCCCCTCCCACTTACCACCCCTGCCCACTCTCACCTAGCAGCCCGTGCCCCCTCTCACCCAGTAGCCCCCACTCACCTAGCAGCCCCTGACACCACTCACCCAGCAGCCCCTGACACCATTCACCCAGCAGCCCTTTCACCCAGCAGCCTACCACCACTCACCCAGCAGCCCCCACTCACCCAGTAGCCCCAGCAGCCCCCTCTCACCCAGTAGCCCCTCTCACTTAGCACCCCTGCCCACTCTCACCCAGCAGCCCCTGCCCCCTTACCCAGCAGCACATGCCCCCTCAGCCAGCAGCCCATGCCCCCCTCACCCAGTAGGCCCTGCCCCCTCTCACCCAGCAGCCCCTACAACCCCCACTCAGTAGCCCTTTCTTACCCAGTAGCCCTTTCTCACCCAGCAGCCCCTGCCCCCAACCCAGCAGTCCCCTCCTACCTAATAGCCCTGCCCCACTCTCACCCAGCATCCCCTACCCCACTCTCACCCAGCAGCCTCTGCCCCCCTTTCACCCAGCAGCCATCCATTTTGGAGAGGCATGCATGTCACTGGTGATGACAGAACATGCACCCTCTCAAGCCGCTCCCCTCCCAGGGCTGCTCTGCCTTTAAATGCCCGCGCTGATTTTTTGTCCCAGTCAGGCCCTGCCTGTCCCCCTTAGTCCTGCAATGTAACACATAACAGTATTAGAGAAACTACAATGCTTACATTGCAGTGCTAAGAATGCCTCTAGAGGCCATCTACCAGACAGCCACTAGAGGCTTTTCCTGCTGTTTCACAGATGTTGACTCCATGAAAAAACGCTGGACATTTTCGCCACACATGAGCACTAAGCCCTTACATCAGCTGATGCTGGCGGAGCAGGAGCCCAACCCAGCGCTGGAATCAAGTAAGTAAATTAAAGGGTTTTATTAATGCCTTCATGGATGGGGGAGGGGGAAACGGCGTTAGAGAAGAGGGACACTATAGTGTTGGGAATACATCTTTGTATTCCTAACACTAAAGTGTTCCTTTAAGACTAGTATTAAAACAGACATACACAATTAAACCATGTACTAAAACTCCCATTACTCCTGGGCGGCAGTAATTACTATAGTACACATACAATAAAAAACAAAGAAAAGGGTTACTTGTACACTATTAAAACAGACCTATGATTATGCCTGTCCTTCCAGGTAACTGTATCTATGTATCAGGCTACATAGCATTCTGTATCCTGGGCTACAGATTGGTTGCTGGCTGAGACAAAAGAGAGACATATCTATACTCTATTGTGGCTTGAAATATATAACCACAAAAGGAATAACAGAGCACTATTAGAAATAAATGCTTTCAGCGAATTTCAACAGTTTCTAAGTTTGCTGTTTTGGTTTAGAAGCCAAAGGAATAATATATTTAATGGTTTTGTTATTTCTTCATGACCGGGTCTCTCAGCTAGTCCCTTGATATATCTATATATATATATAAGATGAACACAAATGTGAAAAAATAAACTGTGTAAATATGCATAATGTTACAATTTTTAGGTATTACTAAACAGCAATCTATAAAAAAAAAACAGTTGCTATATTGTTCTTAGTTAATAAGCTAACTAATAAATGAATGAGTTAATATACTACCTTTTGTGTTTTAACATTTATTACTCAAGATAACAATGATAAAAACTAGGGATCGACCGATATTGATTTTTTTTTAGAGCCAATACCGATACCGATAATCTGTGAACTTTCAGGCCGATAGCCAATAGTTTACCGATATTCTGTACATTTACCGTTTTGAGGAAAAAAATATTTTTTTTGCACATTTTTCTTATTAAGTAGTAAATGCACAAAATCTACGTGCCAGTCAGATTTTATTTTTATGTTTTCAAGAATATTTATATGTGTTTGAAGTGGATGCAGTGAGAGTATTTGATTAGTAAATGCATTGTGTGTGTGTTTAGTGGATGCAGTGTGTTTGTATAGTGGATGCAGTGTGTTTGTGTGTAAATATGTGCGGTAGGAACTCCCCCCCCCATTCCCCTTAATGTTCCTATGCCTTATCTTTTAGTGCCATACCCCCCCTCCCCTACCCCAGTGTTCCTTTTCCCTTTCCTGTACCTTAGTGCCCTCCCTTAATGTTCCTCTCTCCCCCTGGTGTTCTTCCCCCCCCTCCCCTGTTCCCTACCCCTAACCATAGTGTTCTCCCCTCCCATGTCCCATAGTGTTCTTTCCTCCCCCCCTCCCTATTTAGTCTTTCCTTACCCCCCCCCACCCCTGTCCCATAGTGTTCTTTCCTCCCCTTCCCTCCCCCATAGTGTTCTTTCCTCCCACTCTCCCTCCCTCCCCTCTCCCAAAGTGTAACTTCCCCCTGTCTTGTCTCCCGTGGTACAGGAGATTCAGTCTCCTGTACCCGGCCGGACTTACATGAAGTGTTCTCTCACTGAGCTCTTCCTTTCAGTCTGGCCGGGTACAGGAAACATAAGTCACTCCAGTCACTCCAATCCTTATGGACACGCCGTCCCACCTCATTATGGGTATTACCGGTGATTATCGGCCGATACTTTAAAAAATAAAATTAAAAAAAATCGGAATATCAGCCGATAATATATGCTAAACCGAGTATCGGTCGTTCCCTAATAAAAACAGTAATTATCAAAGTAATCATCAATACATGAGAAATTCAAAGGCATCAACTATACAACTGCCTATTTATCATTTTCGTGTAGCCCTGCTAGATTACAGGAGTAACACTAGGACATGTACTTTTGATTCATGGTCAACAGGTGGCGCTATGCACTATTTCAAAATCAGCCCAGCCCTTAGGCTTTGTACTGCATGACATCCACTAGGACAAAATGGCAGTTATTCACAAGGTCAGGACTAGTTCTAACCGACATGCTTAGAGCCTCAGCACAGTATAAAACGTTCCTCGCTGTCCCCCATTTACAGCTCTTCCTGTACTCTTGGAATAGTTGAAGTTACGTATTATCTGGTTGACGATAATGATGGTGAAAATATTATCTTTTGGATACTCGGTTATTGCTGCAGGAAAAAAATTGTGTTTTTGTGTCTCTTTCAACATTTGTAGATTTTATTTTTAAGGGGCAATCAAAACAACATCACAGCATGAACGCCTTGTAGATGTTATGATGCAAGAACGTCCACTCTCCTTGTCTTCCTGCAAACAGTATATTATAATTAAAGAGATTTTTTTTTAAATTGCTGCAGCCATAAGCACTCCCCATATGTTAAAAGAGCCAGAGCAAGATTTACCATAAACTTATCTTAGGCAGCTGCCTAGCGCCAAGCAGTGAGACAGGGGCCCTGGAACCATGAATTTCCTCGGCCCCTCTCACCATCCTTTTATGAAGAATGAAGAGGATGCCCTGTAGTAACCAACCTGGGGCCCAGTGTTATGTTTATTCTAGAGGAAGTTATGTCCCATGAAATGCTTGAAAATTCAAATATATATATGAGTACAGTATATAAGCACATGTTACAAGCAGAAAGTATTATTAACGTTTGGTTGGGCAGAGGGTGAGAACTTAACGTGTATTATCCCTCATTCTGAGTCAATGGCTGCCTTAGGCTGTACTACAAGTACTACAGGGGATTTGCCTAACTTTACACAATGTTTTATATATTTTTTTTTTTTTAGATGCTAACGTGACATTGCCAGAGTTTTACCCTTCAGTTTGTTTTGTTCTTCAACGACTGAGACTGATGGGTGTTGTAGTTCATCGAGGACTGGTGAATTATGGGAAATAGCTCACAAACATTTAGGATAAAAAGAAAAAAATATATATTTTGTGGTTGATTTTCATGCATCTATATGAGTGTGGTGTGTTAGATGATGAGCAGTGTTGTAGCTGCTGATTATTTTTGGTTGATCACAATACTACAGTATTTTGTGGGTGCCTGTCTCTCATTTTATGTTATTTTTATTTAGGATTCCAAGGTTATCCATGACTGTTACCAGACATTTGTTTGATCTTGATCTGGTTACAGTTGCAGCTGAATGTCTGTATATGTAATTCAATGCTTACTGTGTAATTGTTTAATAACCTTTTGTCTCCCTGTTCACTCAAGGTGTGAATCTGTTACTGAAATACATTGTGTTTTCTAAACCATAATCTGTGCACACAGTGTCTACTTTGTACCTGGCAATTGTTAAACGTTGAGCAAATGAAATGACCAAAGGCAGTAATGAAGGCGGATCATGCTGTAACCAGGGTGCATGTCCAGGTCTCTGTTACACTGCTGCCTGGATATGAGTCCCATGGTATTTGCCTGTAATTCTATAATCTGAATACCTCTTCTCTTGCGATAGATCTTTGAAGTTGGCATTTGAAGAATGGAGGTGAAGTTTGGCTTGTCCCATTACTACAGACAAAGAGAAGGGGCTTCGGGGCTGTCTCGCACTCTGCAATCATCCGAGGTATGGACTCCCCAACAATTACCACAGCGTGTAACAGTGTCTCCAAATCGGTAAGAAAAGGGAATGAAATTATTTATTTATAAAATATTTTACCAGGATGGATACATTGAGATTTCTCTCGTTTTCAAGTATGTCCTGGGTTCAAATATTGCATTGTTACAATAGGGTACAATAAAATACAAAAACAATATTAATACACAATAAATACAAAATTTAACATAGAACAGGTAAGAAACATATAATCAACCATGACAGGTGCATTCTGTTTTGAGATATGTAGAGGGTTGTCATGTTGTGGATATCTTTCTATTCTGCATAAAAGACTCCTGTAAAACTGCAAGTCAGGTGTACTTTTCTATATATTTATATAAATGTTATAAAGCAATAGTACCCAGTCAGAGCCTGGTGTATATACCAAACACTCTTACTTACATTCATGCATCCCTAACACTGCATGCTTGTAACCACTGCTTACATAAGCTCCACAACAATTAGCTTAATTAACCCTTTTTGGTGCAGTCTTACTGTTGCATTCTCTGAATGTTTGTATGTGTAATTCAATGTTTACTGTGTAATTGTCCATTCTCTGCCTTTTATGAGTTGTCACTTTGTTTATGTAGCCCCAGCCACATTTCTCCTGGCTGTGACACACACAGCCTAACTACACACTTCGTGAAGTCTACATTTTTTTAGCTTCCCTTCTGAGTTTGTTAAATTTAGAGTTTCTTATCTAATGCTCTATTATTTGCCTGCTAGAGCCTGCAGTAGTCTCCTGTGTGTGATTAAAGTTTAATGAAACCTTTTAAATGCAGTGCAGGCTGTGGCAGCACGGGTTTTGTCCCTGAGGGACCTGCAATCCCTTTTTGGCCTCCTCAACTTTTCCTGCAGGGTTATCCCCATGGGTCGGGTTTTCAATAGGCGGCTGGAGATGGGCCTTCATGGCAGTCCTAAGGGCAAAGCTAAGATCTCATTGTCTAAGGCCATGTTGGAGGATCTTCGTGTCAGGGGGTGTTTTTTGCAGGACTTCAACGGAGTACGTTTTTAGCAGTCGAGTCCTTCTTCCAACCAATCTCTCCATTTGTTTACGGACGCTTCAGGTTCTTGTGGTTAAGGGTGCTTATTTTCAGGGGGTCTTGGAGTGCTGTCCCCTGACCGCCTTCGTGGCATGCTGGGAGCTTTACGAGAAACCTAACTCTGCTAGAACTTTTCCCCATACTGGTGGCAGTGGAGTTGCGGTGCTCGCAGTTCTGTGACCAGTCTGTTGTTTTTTGGACTGACAACCAGTCGGTGGTTTACGCCATTATTCGGTTGTCGGCCTCTTCTCTCCTGGTGGTTAGGTTGCTCCTTTTGCTAGTTCTCTGTTGCCTTCAAAAGAACATTCGCTTTGCAGCATGGCATGTTCCAGGGGTCAATAATACGCTGGCGGATGCTTTGTCATGTCTTTAGTGGGATCTTTTTAGATCCTTTGCTTCATCGGCGGTAGTACAGGACACTTATTGTCCTCCTCTTCTCTAGCAGATGATGGACAATGGAAGCTCCTTTTCCACTTGGTGAGGGCTTCACTGGCCCCTAAAACTTAGAGGTTGTAAATCCGCTGCTGGGGCGAATGGGTCAGTTTCTCTATGAGTATTGGGGTTCATGATGTGGTGGCTTCCCAGGGGGTGGTTTTCCGTTGGCTGTCTACATTAGGTTCCCGTGGCCTTTCCAGAGCTATGGTGAGGACAAGGCTCAGGGCCCTTTCCTTCTTTTTGAGACTTGCAGGTAAGCCAGATCCATCCAGGTTTTTCATGGTTAGGCAGGTTCTCAAAGGTTGGAGTAGGTCAGAATTTCGTACGCCGGACACTCGGGAACCCATAACCCCTGCTCGTCTAAGATCGCTCCTGCTTGCTTTACCGTTAGTTTGTTCTTCTGCGTTTAAGGTCTCTCTTTTTCGGGCAGCGTTTGCCCTGGCTTTTCATGATGTGCTGTTAGCTCCGTCATCCAAGGCGGGCCACGAGATCCAAGCTGCGCATGTCTCCCTTTCCCATCAGGCAGTTTTGCTTTTCATTCGCCGTTCTAAGTCCAACCAAGAAGGATGAGGTACATGTGTCAATGCCTGCCTCGCAAGATAGTGCTCTTTGCCCAGTGCAATTGGTTAGTTCCTTCGCTCGCGTGCATCCCCTGACCTGTGCCCAGTTTCTAGTCCACGCGGACGGTTCAGCATTGTCGCATTTTTAATTTGCTAGCATTTTGAGCTAATCAGTGCGCCAGGTTGAGTTGTCCGCCTGCCATATTACTTCCCATTCTTTCAGGATTGGCACAGCAACTTGTGCAGCTGCGCTGGGCCACCTCCCTGACGTGCTTCATCATTTAGGGCTGTGGAGGTCGCAGAGATACAAGTTATATGTTAGGCCACTATCTGCTGCGTAAGTTGAAGTGTTGTTTGTTTTGTGTCCATTTATTCACTCTGCTTTCCTATTAGGAGCTGCTCCCCCTACACGTGTTTGGCTAGTGGGTCACTCCTTCATCCACTGGGCTTCATTGCACGCACTCTCCTCATTGCTGGGCCAGGCTCTGGGGTTCCCACTCTCTCGGGTGTGTGTCCTTTGCTGGCCTCGATGGGGGAGTCCGCACATCCTGGTTCTCCATCTTGGGAGAAATTATTTGGTGTCTGTTCCAGTGCTAGACCTGGCTCGGGTTGTCCACTTGGATCTCCGCTGGCCTTCTACTTGCTTACTTAGCATGAGCATCGTGTGGTCCAATGTGTTGCCCAGGATTCAATGGAACAGGTTTTCTTCTCCGGCCGCCGCTTACAGGGCTCGGAAGAAACTTAAAAGGCTGGTAGGTCAGGCTGTTGCTGAGCTGCACGGGTTCATTAGGCATCCAGGCATTTCTGCCAACCGAGTGCAGCTTTTTAGGCCTGATAGGGCCCACCTCAGTGCTGCTGGTCTGGACCTTTTTCTGGCTGACTTGCATGAGGTTATGGTGACCAGGTCTAACCCATGCTTATAAAAAAAATAAAAAAATAAAAGGTATTATAAGGGCTGTTGGTTGGCGGCAAGAGATTGTATCTCTTGTGGCGTGAGGGTGCGGCTTTAGGGCGTGGTGCAGAGAGAGAGGTCGGCAGTGATGGCAGCAAAGGGGCCGGGCTTAACCCCCCATGGGCAGTGGCCCGGCTGGGGTGCCTGCCTGCAGTAGGCCTTCAAGATGGCCGTGCTGAAGATTCTCCCTTGCTGTCCTTATGCCTCTGCTTGGGCCGGCCTTAACCCCCCTTGGGCAGTGGCCCGGCTGGGGCGCCTGCCTGCAGTATGCCTTCAAGGTGGCCATGCCGAAGATTCTCCCTTGCTGTCCTTATGCCTCTGCTTGGGCCGATGCTACGGGTGCTCCGCTGCAGGATTAGGTTGGGCCGCATCCTCATGTGGGCTGAGGAGTCTAGCCCTCAGCGCCTCCACCCTATTTAAAGTTTTGCCGCCATGATGCCAGTGACATATTCAATAAATGCAGCCAGCGAAGGCTTTACCTCCCAACATGGTGTCTGTGTTGTTTATTTCAAGGGGAATGTTGGGTTGGGGAGGGTGTTATAAGGTTAGTTATTTGGCTAAAACGAAGGGACATAGGAGATTACCCATTATGTAGTAGGCAGCAGAGCTGGTGCATTTGAAAAGCACCTACCTGCTCCAGTCCCTGGCTGGGCTACAAAATGTAAGTAAAATGATCCCCTCCGGTGATATCATTAACTATCACATTGGCAAGATCTACTAAATTGTGCGCGCAAGACAGTACAGCATGCGCACAATTTAAAATGATAAAAATTCCCCTGTCACCACTCGGTTGTAAGATCTGATTGCATGAGATCTGATTGAAAATTAAACCACAAAATTATAACTTCAAACTTTAACATAGGGGTTGACCCATCATCTCCGTGACCCAGTCTCAAGAAAACCCAGAGAGTAAAATGTATAGCAGGGACATGTATCACAGACATATTGCATCCCAAGATAGTGCACAAAGTCATACTAACTGCTGTAAGATAAAAAGCAAACCCTGGAACTGCAATGAAAAAAAGTAATATTTAATCTTTACCATACTTATCACATCCATACAAGTATATGCTTAGAGACAGACAAAGGATCCCTCAACCACCAATGTCTATTGCCAACTGTTAAACATGGTGGGAGATCTGAAAAATTTGAAGAGTAAGTGGGTACCAAAGTAGAAAATCTCCTGAATGGGGGTTAACCCCTAGTGCAAGAACATTTGCACCAACAACTAAACAACAAGAAGGGACAGAAGACAGGAGAAACAGAATTATGGTAAAGTGCCCTGAAGAGTGTAGGTCCTGGCGGCACAATATTACAGTCACGAGTACAAAGTAGTATATAACACCCTGTTATCAGAGTATTATTTTGTCAATCAAAAAAGTAAACTCAGGAATTTCTCCACTATTGTTGTCTTAAAACCCACACTATCTCTGTGATATATATTCCTGCATAGCGATATTAATTATCCATTCTGGTTCTCTCTCCCACACAACAATATATGGTCTGAGACACCAACAGGTATACAGTTTACTTTTTATTGACAAAATAATACTCTGATAACACAGTGTTATATACTACCTTGTACTCGTGACTGTAATATTGTGCCGCCAGGAAAATTATTGTACTGCTTCACCTTGCAGCGGGTTCACTTATCGGATTGAAATAATCCCTGCAATTACACTATCTCCGTACTAACGGAGACGAGCCAGGACAAGTTATAATAATTAACGGTCTGACCTTAAGGACGCGATAATTACTGCAGCCGATTACTACAGTTGAGTGGCAGCAATCCGATATTTGTACACCAGTGCTCTGAGCTGCTACTGTATCTAGTAGGGCAGCCCTTGATACATTGCTCATAATCTGTTGCAACTTTACAGTTGTTATCAAAAAAAGGGCTGTATGCACAGACACACATACTTTTGCATGTATAAACTATTAGTGTTCGTAGTGTGTGCTCTTGTGGTTTTACTTTTTTAGTATTAAAAGTTACATTTTATATTTAAAGTGGTACACACTATTTGTACCACTCACTGTCCCCCTCCCTCTTAAGGAACCTACACTCTTCAGGACACTACCATAATTCCTTTTCTCCTGTCTTCTATCCCTTCTTGTTGTTTAGTGGTGGGAGATCTGTAATGATAAGAGCAACCATCTAATGGGCTACATTGGGCCCAGTAAATAGTCTATAAGGTTGGATAACAGCCAAAAAGTGTGTGGCTAGCTTAAAGAACCAAATGCATTAGATGAAAGCATTATGACACTTTGGTTTCATGAATACGAGGAATGTGTCAGATGTATTTTTTCTTACATCTTTTTAAGTCTTCTTATTTGCTCTACAAATGATGCTCGTGCCCAGTGCTGGGCTGGTAAATGGAGATCACTTAATCCAATAGGATAATCAGTCAAAAACATTGGGGAATGGAGGTAAGCAAAATAATCAGATGAAATGAACACTCCTCATAAAAACAGAACATGTGTGGGTGTCATGTGGGTGCTGTCATCTAAGTGCTAGGTGAGATGCCTATTGCATGGGGTCTACTGTTTGATGATTGCACCATACTTGAATACACAACTTCTGAAATAAAATGGAATCATGACGGAATATTTCCGTCATGTGTCCTTAAGGGGTTAAACCTTTCGGTGTGTTTATTTACATGTTCTAAACGTTCTTCTGACCGGATTTAATTTGTGAAGCTGAAGGACACCTAACAATCATGGACTTAGAGGTTCCAGTAATGTAGCAGTCTCGTAGGTCAGTGTGTACATTTGCTATCTTCATTACTATAGATACCTTATCAGTGTTTGATAACTTTAAAGGTAAAATTATGGACCAGAATATGGGTTAGTATTTAATAAGCGACTGTTACTTCCTGAGAAGTGAAAGTTTGTTGTTCTTTCACCACGGTAACCGCTAGTGTAGCATTTACTGGGGTGAGTAAAGCAATAAATGTAAGTCAAATCATACTTCCCTCAACTGTAGATCCCTGGTGCGTTAGACATACTAATGTGCACTTACATGACATCTATGGAGTAATTTTTTACATCCTCATGCATATCCATTCCACACTAAAGAGATTAATCAATTTGCTTGATTTGTCTAGTGTGCCTGGCAAAGAATGTAAATTAAAATAAAGAATTTAAAAAAAAAAATACCACCATTAATAGTTAACTTTTATAGAGATCATTGGTTTGCTAAAATTTTAGATATGACATTTTCTCTTTAAGGGAAAATATAAAGTGTTTCAGGAGTTTATTGTTTAATGGAGGACTTGCATAGAGATGTTAAACTGTGCTTTGTTTCATTGGTTTTATTATACTTTAATTATGGCTAAGAGATAGTTTTTCAATTTAGTTCAGCATTGAGCGATGTCCTTGTTAATAATTAACAGGTAAGCCAGTAAGGGTCACTTTACTTGGTTGTTACACTTTAATGATTAGATATGCGTTAGATATGTATAATAGCTAACTCACGCAGCAAACTCTAATGCTTAATTTCTATAATATTGAGAATTTAACAAATGTAAGACCTGCATTTTTTCCAAATTAATCATCCTTTTGCGTTTTTGTTTTTTTTAATTTGGGAATATGGATCATTAGATATGATTTAGAAAGATAAAAGTAGCCATTCCAGGTAATATTATCCTTTCTTATACTTTAAATACCTCCACTTCTAACTGGCCATGTTCTTGCTAGTTCTTGCTCAGTTTTATAATATCTTGGAATGCTGAGAGTTTGAATGGGTGGTGTGTTTGCGAGTTTGTTACATCATTAAAATTCTAGAATCACCATATGCATTCTTCTTTCTAATAGTATACACCATGTTTCCTGTATTGTACGTAATTATCCTGTTCTCATTATACATCCTCCGGATCCTTGATTAAAGGGAAATAAAGGAAATGCATATATTTATTTTGCATGGATAAAAGAATCAGAATGAAATTATAATTTATTTTAATTTATTAGAGGATGGAATAAAACATATCAAATAAACATGCCATAGTTTCAACGAGTATATTAACAAGGGACAGTTGGGCACACCCGTTGAAACAGTCGTCACCATTAGACTAGGAAAATTAATGCAAGTAAGCGTGCTCACTCCAAAATAATAATCATAATAATCATATAATACTACAAGGAGGAGCACAACCAAGTAAAATTCAAGAAAGCTTTATTACACACACCAAAAAAAAAACAAAAAAACACACACCACACATGTATAACAGATATCAACGTAGATATCAAAGAATTAGAAATGCAGAAACATCTCTGTCAAATATGCAAATAATGACTGCAAATAAAGCCAAAATAGGAAAAAATGTTTGTAATCAAAATGATCCAATAGAAGTGTTGTAGCCACTTATCCAGAAAAACAGTATTATGATACCTGTATATACTGATAAACAAAAACATACATACCAAAGAAAACAGGAAATATGCGAAGAGGGTACAGACATCCAAATAAAAATAAAAAATAGCCCCCAACGTTTCGGTGAATCCGCCTTTATCAAGGGAGCATGTGGTACAGAGGACCTAATAACCTTTATATACCAACATATATTAACAAAATGAAATACACCTGAGTGAAATGGGTGGCCACCCATGAATAATTGGGACTCCCACAATCATAGTCACATGACTATGGTTGATAAGGTAACCAATATACAAACAAAACATATCACTTTATCAGACACATGAAAAATACATATTGGATCCAAAGAGAGAATAAAAAAATTAAACTTATAATAATACAACATATATGGATAGAATACCATATGATCCTCACATTGTATGTGTGACAGATCCATCTGTATAGACTGGGATTGCTGGTTCATCTGTTTTGCCTTTTCGTGGAATTACCCGTTCGTATGCCCCTGTTCAGTGAATTGACTTTTCCGTCAAACAAAACTACCGAACGGATGGCCACCCAGAAGAGAAGTGTGCTGCTGGTTAATTTCTTGATCCCAATTAGAACGTTGTGGTTAACCACAGACACTTCTCAATTAAAACCGAATACAGGGTGGTTGTCGTTCGTATGTCGACCACGAGGCGGCGGCCATTTTAAACCATGCGAAAGACCAGCGGTGTTCGGCATTGATTTCATGGAACTGAAAACTGACACTTTTTCTGCCAAACACCGCTGAAGCCGCTGACCTCCCTTCTCAATCGACAGAAGGATACGAACACCGGCCGTTCGGGAGTTTTAAACGCACGAATAGACTTACCCCAGATAGCCTTCCCATGGAGTCAATCGCATACCGAAAGACTGTAATAGACTTTGACTCCATGGCGATTGAACTATACGTATGGGATCTGAGCGCTATTTGCCAATAATATGCACTCAGATCCAGACTATCTGGGGATATGTGATACGAATGGGTAACATTCGACAAATGTAAAGTTATATATTTTTATATGTTTTTCTGTGTTGAATTTAAAATGGCGATTTGCCTCTGTCCTGGAGGTAATTGAATTACTCCTCAATTATCTCCAGGGCAGAGGGGAGGAAATACTAATGCATGCTGGGAATATTCTGTGCCTGTGGGTCCTAACCTGCCATATGTCTGTCTACTGTTACAGTCTCCCATTTGGTCCCCTAGGGGAGTGTCCACCAAGTAGGAGACCTGCATAAATATGGGCAGGTAGCCCACAGTAAAGCCAGTTCATGTTTTACCCTCAATGCAGAGCTTGGTCTCGTTATTGGGGGGATTTATTACCGACGAATAGAGACTGCCGAATGAGATTATTAGCCGCTTGGGAGATATTTGCGTTCGGCTACTATTGGCGATTCGTGAGTTTGGAGCTCGTGAAGTGAAGTGCCGTACGGATCCCGTTCGTGAGTTTACAGCATTCCCCTGCTTGCGGTTCACATGATTGTACTTGATACGCATGCAGCCTGTGTTATTGCGAGAGGGGAGGATTCACTAAATGGCGGTTTGTGCATTTGATGCTGAGGGTACCGTAACAGTATGTATAGTCAAAATGTGCTGATGACAAATCTATATCATAAGTGTCCTACCTACATATAGAACAACTATCTCATACCTCCATATCAGTGATGCCTCTTGGTAAATAGAGGAACCAACGATCAATATTCAGAGTTAGGGTACATCAGCAGTAGTACCTTGGTTCCCAAAGGCAGTCTAATGGAACGCAAGTGTGTTACATCATAGGAGAGAAAGAAAGAAGTTAGAACGCACATGCGTTCCACCATAATGAGGAACTCCGGACCACAGGCTGCATCCGCCGGCATGAAGGCGGAAGTGTCTAATCACGCATGTGCACAGTTTTTTTGGGGGGGAGGTTTGTTTAATAAAGCTTTCTTGCATTTTACTTGGTTGTGCTCCTCCGAATGGTTCGTATTTGCCATCACATTCTATGTTTCTACCTCAAGTGTTTGGGAAGATTAATGCTCAGGTATACTATGTAATTTTGTCTCCAGCCAAAGGGAACAAACTGCACCAGGGATGCCTATGGTGAGAATTTAGATTTTTTTACCTCAAAACTGGTAAACTTGGGGACACTGTTGCATGAGCTAGTCTTATGCCTCATTCCCACTGAGCGGTATGGTTCGGGTCGGTACGGTTCGGAAGGGTTAGAATGGCCCAGCCTATTCAGGTGAGCATTTCCCTGCAAGTCGGACCACCAGGGGGCATGCGGGGTTAAGAGCAAATGCCTAGCGTGTCATTTTTTGCAAGCATTGATGTTTTCCTGTCTGCCAATGAAAGGATTGTATAGTGTGACGCCAGTAGCTCCGCCCTAACAGTACCATACCATTTCTTATGGACCTACATCTGAAGGGGGCCCAAGAATGGTGCGGTTTGGTTCGGTTGTATGGGCCACATTTATAATGGAAACACTTAAAATAGCGTACAAGACCGTACCGACCCGAACTGTGGAAACAGGACATTAGAAACCCTAGTAACTTGAACATGCATTGCTATGTTTCTCCCTTAATATATCTTTCAAAATAGGTGTGTTTGCCGACTACACCATGATATCCCGAATCAAACCTCTTACTTCTCTCCCAGTCTTTCAAAACACAATATCAGGATTTTCTGCAATATCTTGTCATAAGGTAACTGTATCAAAATCTCTAATTCTCCCATATGCATCCCAGGTGCAGTTGGCTCCCTATGACTAGAGACAGAATTACATAGTATACCTGGGCATAAACCTTCCCAAAAATGTTGGGTCTGTATAAATAATGGTTACATTTAGATGGATTATATTTGCTGCTCATTAGGGGTTTCCTAATCAGCCTTCAAGTACAACTAATGGTTCAGAATGTAGTAACTTTGCAGTTCTGCTCTCATGGAGATATTTATAAAACTATTAGAAACACCCTTAGTAAAGTACTGATTTTTGAAAATTGTGGTCATTGGGATAATGGTTCTCTCCATAGGGCTAGCCTTAGGCTTTTGTGGCCAGTGCAGTTACCCAGGGAACAGACATCAAAGCTCAATTTTCACCTTCCTCCTCATTAATATGTCATGATCACAGTTGAAAGGAGGAGGAGAAATCTTGGTCTGCCATGTACTGATGATATATAAGTCATGCTTGCATTCCTATAAGCTCTGGGGTCTCCAGTGGAAGCAGATAAATGTATATGAGATACTAGTACCCTGATACATGTACCTACAAAGTATTACCTGGAATGATTACTTCGAAATACTGAGTATTATATTTGTTGTTTAATGTGTTGTTTTTCTTCTTTATGTGTGTTTTCAGTCATGTTCAACAAACATTATACAGGTAAAACATTGTTAATGCTTGAGCTTGGGCTGGAAATATTTAACATTAAAAAAATAAACTCCTTTTTTGAACAAGAAAAACAGAGAGAGTAGTTTTGCAGAAAGGTCCCAAACACATAATATCCTACTGACTCATTATAATCAGACATTTAGTGTATTGCAGTCTGATATTGCTCTGAGTTTCTCAAGTGCAAGAGCTATGGTGATTTGCACATGATGTTTATATGGCCACCCATTGATTGATTGCTGCATAGCTGACAGATACCTATTGTGGATTAGGGGTATGTACCATGTTGAGTGACTGAGATGTATAGCAGCGCCAGTGCCCAGTTAGTGGCAAGGTTTGACCTTTGTTAATATGTCTGTTCAGACCCCTCTGGTATTCCTATCTAATTCAAATACTCTGACCATTCAGTCTTCTACCGTCCCCACTTAGTAGGTAAAGGGAAGAGGAAGTAGGTCAAGAGAAGAAGAAGAAGAAAGAAGAAGAGAAGAAGAAGGAGAGAAGAAGAAAAGAAAAAAAGGGGGCTTCCCAGCCCTAATGGACAGCCGCCAGGCCCAAACCTGTCCCTTTCCTCCGTTGCTTCCGCTCCTCCAATCTCACGGCCATACCCGCCCTTACTCCATGACCTGTGTTGAACCACTAACCAGCTGACCTGCCTCCTTCAAACAAAGCACCATGTAGTTCCTCCAAGGTGCCCATGTTTGTTCGCAATACTCTCTGTGCCCCTTGCCGTCAGTGACTCCATATCGTATAATTCTTCGACCCTTGCCAACCACTACCGAATGGTGGGCACTTCCAGGCTACACCATTGCGTGAGGATCAGGAAATTTGCTAAAATCAGCAAGTGTTTTGTTGGGGACTTTTTGTATTGTACAGTTGGTAAGTTTGTATGTTGCAGAAGCATCAGCATGTGTTACAATGGAATATCCATGTTGTGTATCTCATGAATTGTGAAGTGTATCTGATTCCAGTAGGAGGAGATCTTCTGCATGTCCACCAAGTGTGTAGAAGTGTTCCCACTCCAATCTCACATCTCCAATATGTGTCTGGAGTGTCCACATTCATGTTGTGCATCACTGCTGGTGTTCTATTCCAACATAAAATTATTTTATAGTTCAGCACTTGCATCTTAGAGCTCATAGATTTGCTTTTTAATTTAATATCTATAGCACCACTAGTTGATCAGCCTCCTGTTCTGCGTTTGTCTTGGAAACCTTATGGATGCTGAATTGACCCGTATACTTTTTCTATATCCTCCTCATTCAACTAAACTTCACACCCACCTTCCTGTTTAAGACTTAGTAGGGTAGGTTGACTTGAAATATCTATTAAAGACTTTAAATAAAACATAGATTTAATATTATATAGAGTGAAGAGGGGAAAGGGCCAGTGTATCACTGAATAAGTGACTAGGTGCTTGGGATCACCTAAACACACATAGGTGTAGGGCCTATGTTATCCTGGTATCTTCTGGCTCTCTTTGGGACGCTGAAGTCATCTTCTGCCATTGGCACATAGCCAAACATCCCCTGTTCCTTGAATGTGTTGGCTAAGGCCTTAGGGCCCACTTTATATCCCTAAGCCTCTGCCTCAGAGTATATAGGGTGGAATAATAATTACCAAGTCTCCTGTGGTTACTCTAGATATCCCACTGCTCTCCATGGTAGAGTGGGGTTAACGGCAGTGGTAAATAAGTAATGATAATACACTGTCAACATGTTGCAAAAATTTATAAATTTTTGGCCCAAACGAAGGTTTACAACATATATTTGATAACAGTTGCATGCTATGTACATTGTTATGTTTTTTCACACAGGAATATTTTTGTAATTCTAAAGCACAAACAGAGAGTTAAATCTTGCCGTAACAAATAATGGCCAGAATACAATGGCCTTCTGTACCTTTTTACCATAATTTAGTTGTTCAGATAAACAAAACTAAACAGAATATAGTGGTTGAATAACCATACAATTTACATGTTGTGTAAGTTTCAAAGATATGTACAAATTACTGTACCAATCGGTCAAGCTTTATTTTTTTTTTGTTTTAGGTTTTTCTAAACATTTATTTCTATGTGTATGTATTTTTTTGACTTTGTGTTATATTTGCTCTTGTTAAAACATATTCAATGGCTTCTGTTTAAAAAAATTAAAGGGACACTATAGTTACCTAAACAACTTTAGCTTAATGAAGCTGTTTTGGTGTATAGATTATAGCCCTGTGGTCACACTGCTCAATTCTCTGCCATTTAGGAGTTAAATCATTTTGTTTATGCAGCCCCAGTCACACCTCCCTGCATGTGACTTACACAGCCTTCCTAAACAGGTCCTGTAAAGAGTCATCTAACAGGAAGTAAGAATTTATTACAAATTTTGTTTAATTTAGAATTTCTTATCTCCTGCTGTGCTAATAGCTTGCTAGACTCTGCAGGAGCCTCCTGTATATAATTAAAGCTCAATTTACAGAGCAGGAGATACAAACTTTTAAAATAAGTTATATCTGATGGAAAATGAATCTATTTTGTTTTCATGCAGGCTGTGTCAGTCACAGCCAGGGGAGGTAGGGCTAAGGCTGCATAAACAGAAACAAAAGTGATTTAACTCATACATGGCAGTGAATTGAGCAGTGAACCTTGAGAGGCATGATCTATACCAGGGGTAGGAATCCTTCGGCACTCCAGATGTTGTGGACTACATCTCCCACAATGCTCTTACAGCTATAATGCTGGCAGAGCATCATGGGAGGTGTAGTCCAAAACATCTGCAGTGCCGAAGGTTGCCTATCCCTGATCTATACACACAAACTGCTTCATTAAGCTAAAGCTGTTTTGGTGACTATAGTGTGCTTGAAATATGATATCATCCTTCATGTGTCTATGAATGGCTAGGATGTACAGATAAACTGACTAACTCCTTCAACATGATTTAAAAAAAAATATATATATATATATATATATATTATTTATTTATTTATTTACGTATTCCTTTATATAGGCCAACAACTCTCCCCATTATTTTTTTTGGCAATTTAAATTCTCTACAAAAAAATCACACAGTTTCAGCTATAACCTTGGTTTTTACTACACTCTAAATTCCCAATATATAATGGTTCTAGGCAGGGATGCCCCTTATCTCCATTGCTGTATGATCCCGCCTTAGATCCAGCCTTAGAAACCCTAGTAACCTTGACATACATGGTTACGTTTCTCATTTAATGTATCTTTCAAACTAGGCGTGTTCACTGTCTGCATCATGATATCGCAAACCAAAACTCTTTTTTGTCTCACAATCCTTCAAAACACATTATAAGGATTTGGTGCAATATCTTGTTCAAATTCTCTCCATATGATGCATCCCAGGCGCAGTTGGTTTCCTAAGACTAGAGATAAAATGACATAGCATACGCTTCACAAAAACTTTGGCCTCGATAGTCCCTCTAAAATTTAGAGTCTAAATATTGAAGCTTAAGCATTAAAGGACCACTATAGTGCCAGGAAAACACACTCGTTTTCCTGGCACTATAGTGCCCTGAGGGTGCCCCCACCCTCAGGGTCCCCCTCCCCGCCGGGATCTGGGGAGAGGAAGGAGTCAAACACTTACCTTTCTCCAACGCCGGGCGGGGAGCTTTCCTCCTCTCCTTCTTCCTAGCGACGTCATAGGCTGAATGCACATGCGCGACAGGAGCCGCGCACGCACGCATTCAGCCAGTCTCATAGGAAAGCATTCATAATTTCTCTGAAACTGCTATGTTTACTTAAAAAAGAGTTAATCCTATCTGGACCTGGCACCCAGACCACTTCATTAAGCTGAAGTGGTCTGGATGCCTATAGTGGTCCTTTAAGGATTATATATTTAAAGGGATAAACCTGGGCAGAATCACAACAATCTAAATGGCCTAGCACCAAAAAGAGCAAAACTATTCAGTTACATATGGACTGAAAAATCCAGACATTGTTTATGCAATACCATGAACATGCCTGAATTTGGTCCAGATTTTAGTCAGACCAAAAGCCACCAGATGGCTGAAATCGGGACCACTGCAAATCTGGGCCTGGAGGCTTCAAATCCAGGCCTGTATTAAAAAATATATTTTTTTTAACTATAGTTTAAAAAAACCTTGGCTGCACAAGGGTTAATTACGTGGCAGCTGGCCAGCACTTGCTACCCTGCCACCACATTAAAAAAATAAATAAATAACAGGCCAAAGGGGGTCAATAAGACCCATATTACTATTACAGAGGTTTTAAACCTCCATATGCTCCAACATGCCACATGGGCATATCTGCTAAACATTTAAAAATAGCATCTGAGCAGCTATGGTCGTGCCCCTGATTGGCATAGGTTGGAGGACTTTAATATACATTATGAGTAGTCTAGAAATTCTGTTCCACCCTCTTACCAAATCCGTGGACTTTGACAGAATAAATGGGTGCCTATGTCAAACCCACCCTTGGTCAGTTGGGTAGACATCTGAAAAAACATGAGTTAAGAAGCAACCCAAAGAACACACAGATTGTAAAATAACAAAGTGTATTGTAAAAATGCTTTTGTTTGAAATCTATGTTTGATTATCTAGAAAAAAAATTATTTATTTGCTAATATATTTTGTTCAATGTCCCAAAAAACACAGATATGAAGAGTACCTTGCAACAACCGCTGTGCCACCTAGACTTCCATGGGGAAGAGAGAGAGAGTATGGAGGAATAGGACCAGTATCACTGCCCGATGACCATAGACCCAAAACTGAACCTCCACCATTGGAGGCAAAGGGGCACAAGCATTATGGTTATGGTGGAGACACCTGGCCAAGGTAAGTCATTTTCCCACTCCTGTGTTTAAAGGTTGGATCTTTCTTCAAAAATAGAACTATGAAATGGTTAAAAGGTAAAATGTATATTTTTTTGCAGAAATTTGTTAATTTATGATTATGTTGCACACTTATTTTTAAGAATCAGTGACACCACTAATGTTCAATGATGTCATAGAGAAAGCAAAATTCATATCTATTTTTCTTATGTTGTGTTTTTTTCGAGGAGTTATTACTTTTGCAGAACACCATGTTACCTCATCAAATCAAGATGATAATCAAGATGATAATCTGAATCCAAAACCTTTGAAACTAACAAAAGGAAACTTGTTTTCCTGTTGCTCATAATTTCATTATATCTCATAGTGGTAGTCATTTACTAGTCATTTTAGTTTAGCCACATATTAATCTTATAGTAATACACTACCCCAGTGGAATCGATATAAATAATTTGTCATATTCTTTTTATGGCAATGGCATCATCTTTTTTGAAATGCATATAAATTAGCTTTTTTTGACAATAGTTTGGGGCACATTAGTAGCTGATCACTTTGTCCTTTAGCAAATCCACCATTGTCACAGCTACTGAAAAAAAGCAACTGTTAAATGTATGCTTTTGACAAAGGTATTTTCAAAGTTGACCACTAGATGTCAGAGTATGCTGTTTTCATAATATTCGCATTATTCAAAACCACAGAACAATTACACTGCTTAATAATATTTGTCCACTAGATGGTGCCAGTGGATACTGTTTGTAGAGACTGGGCAGCTAGCAATGAAGAAAACTTTATAGCTTTATACAGCATATTATAAAGATACAGCTGATCAATCGTAACTTAAAGTACATTTTATATCATTTGAAACAATTCTATATTTTTTTATACTTGTAAAATAAAAGTATAATTTAATTGTATAGTATAATTTTATTGAGGATTTTAGAGAAGCTGCAGCCTAATTAATAACCTTACTGCACAACTCAAGTTTTTATTTTATATTTATTTGTATATTATTTAACAGCACTTAAGTTCATAAAAAAAGCAGGGAACAAAAGTTACTTCTTAAAGGGAAACTACAGTGCCAGGAAAACAAACTCGTAGCTTCCCCCTCTGTCAAGGCCCCCTCCCGCGGCGCTCAAGGGGTTAATAACCCCTTCAGTCACTTACCTGAATCCAGTGCCGATGTCCCTCGGCACTGGCAGAGCTCCGCCCATGTTCCTCCCCCGCTGTTGTCCACCGGCGGGGGAGACCCAATGCACATGCTCGCATAAAGATCTCCATTATTCAATGCTTTCCTATAGGGAAAATCTGACGCTGGAGGTCCTCATGCAGAGGGGGAGGATGTCCAGCATCAGATAACGGACCAAAAGTCTGTTTCAATTCCGGAAGTCCCACTAGTGGCTGTCTAGTAGACAACCACTAGACGAGGAGTTAACCCTAAGAGGTAATTATTGCAGTTTATAAAAACTAGAATAATTGCCACTGCCGGGTAAAGGGTGATGGGTGTTTACACCCAGACAACTTCAATTAGCTGAAGTGGTCTGGGTGCCTATAGTGTCCCTTTAATTATACAAATGATTCAGAAAAAAAGAAAATATTAATTGAATTAGAGATCTAGAATCATTTTTAAACTAAACACACAAGAGATGAATAATGAAGGATAAACTTCACTGGATTTCAGATTTAGATAACGATTGTTGAGAGCCTGATAATAGTGTCCTTCTGACGTAGCACTAGTTGATTAAGAAATTAAGTCACAACCTTTGTTCTCAAGTCAAGTGTCTCTTGCAATTATATTTTTTACATTTGAAAACAAGGAACTTGTCCTAATTAAAAATGTATAATCTGACCTCTTGCGCATGTGTACTTGGGGTGGGCTTAAAAGGTTATAGCCCCAAGAGTGAGCCTGAATTTCTTTAGATGGGAGAAGTATTTTTTACTGCTACCTTATAGCAAATTACAGAAAATGGCTTAACCCTTGATGGTAAAACAGCACCCAGACACTCCTGCAACCATAATAACTTCAATGAATGGAAATTGTGATTGGGTGGGTGAGTTCCTTTAACATAATGGAATAGATGCAGGTTAATATAATTAAGTAGAGTGCAGGGTGGTAATATATTGTAGTGGATTATTATACTGCAGTGGGATGCACGGTGTAGATTGATATAATGGAGAGGAATGCACAGTGTAGATTGATATAATGGAGAGGAATGCACAGTGTAGGTTAATATAATGTAATGGGATGCACGGTGTAGGTTAATACAATGTAGTGGGATGCACAGTGTTGGTTAATATAATGGAGTGGGATGCACGGTGTAGGTTAATATAATGGAATGGGATGCACAGTGTTGGTGAATATAATGGAGTGGGATGCACGTGTAGGTTAATATAATGGAGTGGGATGCATAGTGTAGGTTAGTATAATGTAGTTGGATGCATGGTGTAGGTTAATGTAGGTGGATGCATGGTGAAGGTTAATATAATGTAGTGTGATGCACGGTGAAGGTTAATATAATGAAGTGTGATGCACGGTGTAGGTTAATATAATGTAGTGGGATGCACGGTGTAGGTTAATATAATGTAGTGGGATGCACGGTGTAGGTTAATATAATGTAGTGGGATGCACGGTGTAGGTTAATATAATGGAGGGTGAGAAACACATGTACATCTAAATGCTTAACATAAGAAAGCACTGAATTCAGTGCGTTCCTTCGAGCTGCATTGGCCACATGATTGAACATGACTCAATCATTGCTGCAGAAGTGCATTTAGTGGCTTTCTGGAAGGCAGCCACTAAAAGTGTGTTTATCTCTGCAATGTAAACATTACATTGAGGGTTGCTGTGTGTGAATGGGGTGCAGTGTGTGTATTGGGGGCTGCCACTGCCTCCGACACAGTCAGTCATTCTAGATGTTGTGAACTACATATCCCATAATGCTGGCAAAGTATCAGTGGAGTTCCAGTCCACAGCATCTACAGCAGGGGTAGTTAAACTGGTCCCTACCACCCACTAGTGGGTGGTTTGGGGACAGTGGTGCTTTCTGCAGAAAACGCCCATAGACCTTGATGGCCGTGGATCCTTTCATCTCCCCTGCTGGCCATGCAGAGCCAGCCTTGCTGTAATTCTCTCGGGCTGTTGAGGAGATCAACGATCTCCCTCAATGGCCTTCTGGCACTTAGTTCCAGCAAAGGGCAGGAAGGGCCTGGAAAGCTCTGTGTTCCTCCCACGAGCAGACTGGTCAGAGCGTTGTCGCGCATAGTAAGGCTCCATGCTGTGCTTGCAGGAGGACAGTAGAGTAAGCCTGCAGCCGGAGGAGCAGCAGACTAAAGTGAACATGCCCCCACTGGAGCACCAGTGTTTGCAGCATTATGTCCCCCTTCCCTGGTAAAAGGTAAGAAAAAGGGATGGGGAGACATTATAAAGGTAAGAAGAAGGGAGGGGGAGACAAGATAGATTTTCAAATCTCACCCACCTACACACAGCATAGACCCTATGCACCCTTCACACCCTTCACACACACTACATCCCTCACACACACACTAAACCCCCAACACACACACACACACTGCAAACCCTCATCCATATACAGCGCCCTTCACACACACTGCCCCTCTCACACACATATCACCCTTCACACACATATCACCCTTCACACACATAGCACCCTTCACACACAATCATAGGGGGGGAAAAAGGAGAATAGAAAAAAATTTAAAAAGGGAAAAAAAAACAGATAAATTTAATTATTCCTTTCTAAAAAAAAAATTTGAAATTGCACTTGCTCTATAAAATTAGTTATTGCGGCACTTTACCATCAACAAAGGTAAACAAGTGGGCGGTAGGTATTAAAAGGTTGACTACCCCTGATCTGCAGTGATGAAGGGTGCCTGTCAGGAGTCTTACCTGATGGGGAATCCGGCTCGCAGAGTTATACGCTCACCCTTGCAAAGCAGACACAGACCAGGGTGACTAGGTAAGACGCCACCTGACCTGTGAGTCTGTGCACGGGGGCTTTCCAGGAATAGTGCTCCAAGTAGCAGTACAGCAGGGATTAGCAGAAGCATATTCAAGGAAAGCCAAAGTCAGGGGAAGCCAGAGATCAGAGTAGTCCAGGAGGAAAGCCAAGGTCAGAAGCCGGAATCAGACAGGAAATACTGGAACGCTGATATGGAGAGACAGGAACAAAATAGGGGAAGCAGAGTCAATGAACTGACACCCTTCCCAGGGTGAGGCAGGCTTTTATATCCAGCCAATCAATATGGGTTACAGGTGTGCTAGAGCAGCCACGGGTAAGTTCAGCTCCCAGTGCTGGAAACAAGGCAAGGACACCTATTAAGGCAATACTATGAATGGCTGGATAGCTCAGTGGCAAAAGAGCAGGATTCAAGAAGCCAGAGTCCTGCCAAAGCCACCAGGAAGGTAAATCCAGCTGGCATTACACATGTCACGATGGAGATTGTGACAGTGCCTACCCCTACCATTGAGGGCTTTCTGAGGCATTTCAACTATTTGGGAAGTGCCATTAGTGCCATGCTAAGCTATCACTGCTATGGACAGTTAATATCCATGATCTTTACCTCTTCTGCTATGATTATTCCCTAGATTATTTACAGTTCTAATGTGTTAAATAGGCATGTACACCTCCTATTATACTAGAGCTCCTGGCATCCAAAGCTCTCACATTTACACAATAAACAATGTACCCCACTCATAGCAAGAACAGCCAGTATCCAGAGGATGAAGACAAAACTGTGCCCTGCGATGAGCTAACCCACATTAGATACCTTTGTAATCAAATTACAAGTGTGGTAAAGGAGCCCTAAAGCTGGGTGGAGATACATATTTGGCAGTTGTCTTCCTGCCAAATATGACCTTCCTGCCAAATATGACGTGGTGTCACATTACAGAGAATAACTAGCAAATGCATAGACGGAAAGTTATCTCTTAACAATTTATGGCCTTTGTTTTGCAATATCCCACAACTAGCGTACATTCCAGAAGGGCATGCATGTTGGGTGGGAATAAAAAGAAACCTTCAGAAAGAATAATATCTAACAATCTACACATATAGTATACACAGAGTATTGTATACAGTTACATATTTCACCAGCACAATGTATAGATTAAATCTATACATATTTGTAGATGACAAGTTCCCTTTAACAGAGACATGAAAACATTTATTAGACAAATAATGTTGATTTTAATATTGTATGTTTTAATACTTATTTAAGATAGGACAGAATGAGGCAGAATTCCCCAGATGTACATAAAGTGTTCCTATCTGTAATGCTGACAGAGCTATACTCCGTCTCCCAGTGTTTAAATATGAATCCTCTGCCAGGGTGAGTATGGAGCAATTATACCCGGTAAGAAGGTTCAAGGCATTATCCTAAACTAATACGGTGAAAAACGGTTACCAAGAATTGATCAATAAACTCTCCAGGCAGGGTCAGACTGGAATCAAAGTGAAGCCCAGGTCCTTCTGGCCACATCAGCCCACTTTGTGGATTCAGAATTTGAGTTTTTCCATATTTCAAATATTGCATGCAACTTTTCACAAGCAACCTAAAAATAAAAAAGTGATAAAAACAAATATGAAAACCCATTTAGATAAAATAATAGATATATACAAACCATATAAACAGATACACGCATAAATATACCGACTGATAGATATACCCTTATAGATATATATGCATGCACACAAATATAGAAACATACATAGAGCAATACCTATTCAGACAAATATAGAGTGCGATTGACACATATCCACATATTGACACATACAGAGATACATGGAGCAATACATACATGAACATATAGATGGAGACATAGACACATAATTAAATAAATTAATTCATACATTATCTTCTCTTCCTAACTCCTATTTTTGTTTTTTGGGAAGGGTTGTTTTTTTTAATTTAGGTATAGAACGGGGTGTCTCATATTTTTGCAGGAAATATTTCAGATTGAGGGTGTGTCCCTTTTGACCTACTGCATTGGTTATCTATATCAAATGTTATATTGTTATACAGTACTATATACATAATGTTTATAGTGCTACTACATAATATATACCCACAACAATTCCACTTTCTGTTCTGTACGAAGTCAGTGTCAACGACTCTTTGGACTGGATTCAGGTGAAATGGTACAATGTAAAAACCCTGACCAATTATAGTGACGGTTCTGATACCTAAGAGCCCTATTTATTAAGAGATATTGGATTGCTAAGCTATAATACTTACCAGATTTATTGAGGAACTGCAAGCAATATGCTTTACCCAGGTTTACAAGCAGTCTGGTGATACACACCTGTGGACTTTGGATCTGTATCATTTGCACTGCACAGTAAACTTCAATCTTTTAACTATTCTACCATAACACTGACATTACTAGAAAAATCATATTCTGGATCTGCGTACTAAATAAATTGCAATCGCCATGGAAACCAATTTAATGTTTATCACTATTTAGCATCTCACATCTAGAATAGATTCTGTGTGCCTTTATAGATACAGTTGTGCTGAACAGTTTGCAGACCCTTGGAGAATTGGTCATGTATGTACCATTTTTAAAGAAAACATGAGTGAGCATTTCTTTTATTTTTAATGGGATTCATATTCAACTGTAGGTTATAACAGAATGGCACAATCATAAAACAAAGCCTGGCAACAAAGAAAAAAATTAAATGAGCCCTGTTCAAAAGTCTGTATACCCTTAGTTCTTAATACTGTGTATTGGTTCCTTTAGCATCAATGACAGCGTGCAGTCTTTTATAATAGTTGTATATGAGGCCCCTAATTCTTGCAGGTGGTATAGCTGCCCATTTGTCTTGGCAACATGCCTCCAGGTCATGCAAAGTGTAGCGGAGATGCAATATTACCCAGGTTATCTCCGCTTATAATCCAAGTGAGACTCAGGAACAAGTAAATAGTAAATCCAAAGGCAGGGTTTCCAGCAGGTAAAATACAGCAATATCCCAACAGCAATCCCAATAACTGGATGACACACAGTTTCAGGAGCATAACTGACAAGCCTTTAATCGCAGTCTCCTTATAAAGCATGCTCCCATGCAAGGGAGGAACTTACAGTAATTATTACAGTAGCCAATCCTGTCCTGGTAACCTCCCACACATCCCCTCCCCTCAGCCAGCATCATAATCCCCTTATCCAGCACACCAATTCCCCCCGTTTCTGGATGTACCCCTAAACGTAGGGGTACCCCTTTAAATCCTACACCCCCTGATAGCCCTGATCTGGGTGAACAACATATCCAAAAATCACCCAGATCGGACCAGGGGTTCGGGAAAAGTATGGAGGGAATAAAATGACCGACCGCACGAACAGAGATAGCCGAATTCGGTTCCATGTGAATGGGCCTTGCGGTCGGTCCTGGCATAAGGGAATAAAATACACGAAAGCCTCTAGCTATAGAGGCTAGGGAGGGTTCGCCTGAATCCCCTCGTTCGGTATTTTCTATTTACCGAACGAGGGGCCGTTCGGTAGTTTGGAACCGAACGGACCAGGGCTGTGGAGGTCTCAGCGGTGTTCGCCTACTCGAGTGTCCGATTTTAGTTCCAGGCACTCGACGGCAAAACACCGCTGTTCGGGAGTTTTAAAATGGCCGCCGCCACGTGTTCGTTTGTCGAATGGCGGCCACCCCCGAGAACAAAGGACGGCTACTTACTGTTCAATTACCCGTTCAACAATGTTGCAACGGAATTGAGGACACACTTCACACAGGGAGGTCTGGTTGTTCGGTAGTTTCATTCGAATAAACTAAGGGAATGAAACTACCGAACAATCAGAGGAATACAATTCTTTTTAAATACACAGAAATTACAGCAGATACACATATGCAGCTTTATACAGTATTTCTTGTAGGGTCGCCTGGTGCCATCTGCTACACAAAGTCTTTGGTCGTCTTGCATGAACCGCACGTTTGAGATCTCCCCAGATATAGACCTACATCCCTGGCCACGACAAAGTACAATGCAAAATACAAAATGGCCTCCACAGTTCATTTTACATAGAGTTCCATCAACATCCTGAGACACAAGTGGACCTCTGTTTTATTAATCACACTTGTATATGGAAGCAATATTTTATCATTTCTGTAAGCAGGATGAGGAGTGTGAATCGAAATCTCCTACTGCTTTGGCAGACACTAATCATTTAAATTGTGGGTAACCACATTTTTCATCTTTCATTAAACCCTCTGTGTGTCAGAAGAAAGTTTATTGATATATCTGATGTCTAAATCACACTGTCATTTCTACAAGGAAGGGAACACAACATTGTTATCCACTTGAGCTTTAGGAGAGCTTGTTTTTTTTTTTTTAAATGCCTAAAAATCATTTATTACCTTTATAACAAATCTTTACAGTAATGAATGTGTTGGTAAATATTAGTAAGAAGGTGGACGACATAACATGTCTGGCTTTCTGTATATCGCATGATGAAGAGGCATTTCTTAATATTATATTTTTTTTCTTAACACATTTTCCTTCTTTTCAATTTTACCTTTGTGACATTACTTCCTTATATACATGTGTGAAGGTAGTTGGGATAGTGTAGGAAGAAACACCTTTTACTTATAACAACTTACCCAGAATAACTTGACGCAAGACGTAAATGGTGACAAACAGGCCACAACTTTATTTAAAACAATACCATTATTAACATAACACATTAACATGACATTCATTAACCGCAACTTCCATTACCAGATCCTTGCCAACCATTTAACATAACCTAGGCGCTTGCCTCCCCACTCGTCCATACCCCACAATTGGCCTTCCAACTGACCTTCCAATACCATCCATGCTAACCCCTGGCTTTGGCTCAGTGGGCATGTCCTTCATCATAACTTAATCACGAGGCTAGGGGAGGGATCAGTCCTGAACCATTTCCACGGGACCGCTGGTCCAAACCTGACTGGCAAGGAACTTCATACACCTGCTGTGACAAGAAAAAACAATTAAAAAGAAATTGTAACTCAAAGTTTAGGTGATCTACCCCACCAGCTAAAACCTATAAGTGTGAGTGCAGCGATTAAAAATTAGCAGATCTTCCCCTTATAGATACAGGGGATTGTATTCCCTGAAAAAATAATAGAATAAAACACAATATAGTGAAGTATTGCTAATTAGAAGATAGTTAATATATATTGTGTATATATCACACTCACATGTAATAGTGCCAGGTCCAGCTAGGATTAACCCATTTTTTTATAAACATAGCAGTTTCAGAGAAATTGACAGCCGCTAGAGGCACTTGCGTGATTCTCACTGTGAAAATCACAGTGAGAGCACGCAAGCGTCTATAGGAAAGCATTGTAAATGCTTTCCTATGCGACCGGCTGAATGCGCGCGCAGCTCTTTCCACGCTTGCGCATTCAGCCGAATGGGAGGAACGGAGGAGGATCGGAGGAGGAGAGCTCCCAAAAAGGAAAAAGGTAAGTTTTTACACCTTTATTCTCCCCAGAGCCAGGCGGAAGGGGGACCCTGAGGGTGGGGGCACCCTCAGGGCACTATAGTGCCAGGAAAACGAGTATGTTTTCCTGGCACTACAGTGGTCCTTTAATGCTAAAAATCCACCTCATTTCACACATTCCTAACTTTCTTATTATGTCCTCTCCCCTCCAGTTAGCTTTAATTTTCTGTATGACATTACATTTTATAAATTGTCGATCACTGTTATGTACTGATTTAAAATGTTTTAAGATGCTATGTTTTTGATAACCCTTTTTATATTTCGTACATGCTTATTTATTCTAATGTGTTGGGGATGTTTAGTTCACCCCACATAGCATAAATGGCATGTACAAGTCAGAAGATATATCACATTCTAAGAAAAACAGGTGTTCATTCATGTATTTTGTGTGTTTTTTGCTTTTTATAAATTCTTTATTTTTGAGTCTTCAAAAGAAGAGTTGTTTTTTTTGTTTGTAACGTTATGGGGTACAGAAAGGAAAAAGGGGTGCAACATGTTACAATTATATTGGTTACATTTGTACTCATTATTAAATCCCTGTTTACATTCATTGTTTCAGTTGTCCAACATGTAACTCCCATTGCCCTGGGTCTGGAAGGGTCGGGTGGGTAAGATGGATGGGGGTGTCCCCTCTGTTTGGCGTAACCACCGTTTACCCTGAGTTTAGGGAATGGGCCCTAGGCGATGGGTTTTGGTGATGCGCTGTAAGGCTCAAACTTGGCCTTCGCCTAGTTCATGGGCCTTGTGAGGTATCGTTGTCGTACTCTGTCTGTTGCGTTGTGCTGTCTCTGTCCTCTGGGGGTGAGGTGGTGCCTCTGGGGTCGGGGGTTTAGGGGTTTAGAACTTGGAGAGTGTCCTTGTGTCGTAATATCATTTTGTTGTGTGTGGTTGAGCTTGTGGAGTTCACCTGAGTTAGGTCAGGTGGTTGCTTGTAGTCGTGATGTTTGCAAATTTGTGTAATTGTTTTCTGTTGGTTGTGGTGTTTTGATGTGTGGTGTGGGTGGGTATGGGGTAGGGGTGGAATGTGGCAAAGAGGGGGGGGCAGTTCTCTCTCCCCCCCCTTCCCCGCTTGCGGTGTCTTACAATGCCAACCAGGGGTCCCAGATCTTATGGAAAGATCTAGTGTTTTCGTGTATTAGTGCGGACAATTCGTCCATCTCCATGGCCTCTTTAATCTTTCTCTGGGCCTCCGAGGCTGTTGGGATTTCTGGGCTGCCCCAGTGGGTGGCTATAGTTTTTTTTATAATTCTTTATTTTATTTGTGCAAGGTGATAACACATCAGGCTTACAATGCCACAACAGCCAGAGTAAGCAGTTATGCAGACATAGTGTTACAGTAGTTAGGCATTAGAAGATACTGCACAGTTTTATATATATTATTGTCGTGTGTCTGGTGGTTTCACCAGTTCCGCTTGTCAGTAAATGTGTGGTATAAGGTTAAGTCGAACCATTCAACATTAAGTTATATATGAATAAGTCTAGGGATTGAGACGTTGCTAATCTGGCGTACAGTGCTAATACAGCCTGGATGAGCATTCATTCTAACATAGTGTTATATTAGCTAGACATTAAATGCTGCTGCAAGTTGTTATTTCTATTGTGCGCTTTTTAGATTAAGTAGTTATGTTAAAGCTTATGCGGAACATGCATTATAAAGTATGTGTAACATAGCTTAGTCAAATAGCTTTACGTAAGAGTATTAATCATGCTTATACAGTATATGAATATGGTTAAATTCCCATTGGAGCTGCAATCACAGTCTTTGAGACCTGTATGGCTTGTGACGAGGGATGTAATAGAACCAAATTAAAAGTAAAAGAGAAATAGACATGGCAGGACTAGTGTACACCCGGTTAGCGTTTTCAACACGAGATATCACAGTGTCTCAGGCCTCGTGGCTCTCTCGTCGTGGACAGCCTGCTCTGTTCTATCATTCCATGTTTCATCCAATTCCCCTCGCTGGGTGGCCTACGAGGCAGGCAGAGATTATACTGGTGGGAGTGCTGGGGCGGCTTTGTGAGAGGGTGTCCACCCAGAGCTGGGCCCGTGTGGCGTCCAGTGCCTTCATTTTGCGCGCCCAATGGCTCGGAGCACCTGTATCTTTCTCATATGGGTTACAGCGATGGGTCTCCCACCGAATAGCAGTGGGCGGGCGCTGGTGTGGCAGTGTGGGGCCCTGGTTGTTGTTGGGCTCTGGTGAGTATAAGGGTAGAGGAGCAGGTGCTTGCTTACCCTCGGTGTCCGGAGGGGGCGCGCTCACTCCACATGGCTCGGCTAGTTGATCTGCAGTCCCCTGTTGAGAAACTGAAGCTGCTGCTCGTGCCTCCAATTTAGCCCAGAAGTTGGTGAATATTGCCTCCAATCTTGCCAGGGAGCGCTCTACAGAAAAACTGAGGCTATTACTGGTCGGTAGTGGAGTTGGCTTTGCTGGAGGATGAGTGTCCGCCATTTTGAGGGTTCCCGCCATGTGCAGGTGAGTGTCCCTTTCTGACCACAGGTTTTGTCTGGAGCAGTCCAGGGGGGGACCGGGATAACCCCCGCCGGTCCAATGGGGGGAGGGGAGGTATGGACTGAAGCAGTTCCGTTCAGCAATCAGGAGAGCGGGGAAATCGGCCGCCTTTCCCCCCACCCGGTCACTTGCAGGCCGCAACTTGTCTCCGCGGGCTCACTGCGTCTCAGAGGCTCGTGAGTGGGGTCAGTGTGATCAGCAACTTGTCCCCAAGTAGGCTTATGGGTATAGAAACCCGGATTCAGGCTGGAAATGGGGGTATTACCCCGAAAATTGTCGTTTTGTGCAGGAGCTCGCTCAGCATGCGGCTGCTCAGCTCCGTGTTCAAGCTCCGCCCCCCGTGTTTTTTGCTTTTTGTGCTTCGACAAGCCAGACATAAGAAACCATTTTGTTGAAAAAATTTGTCTCTTCCATTAGTCTTAATGTGATTTTTTACTAATCTTTTTTTTTAGACTGGGAGCTCCTCTGTATATTATTTTGGGTTGGCTTGGAAGAACCCAAAATAATAAGCCATGGAGCTCCCAGTCTAAAATAAAAGATTAGTAAAAAAAAATCACATTACTCCATAAATGCAATGTTATCTATAAATCTAGCCATATTGCTTGCAAATATATTGCTGGAAATACATTTCCGTTTTATTTTTCTAAATTCCTTTGCTGTTAAAACATCATTATAGTGGTGAAGACTACAAATATAAAGTTCACAAAAGGCTGTGCAAGGTATCCTGTGCATTCTACAAATTCTACTGCATGATGCTACATGAATAATGTAGAGGCTTTAAAGTTAGTTCGACAAAGTTAACAATACTGCCGGACTGTTCGTTGCTGAGGTCACACGGTAGGAGATTTTCAGAAGCAAATAACTTTTAGGTCTGGCTAGTAGTGTAAGACTTGACATGATACAGACTAGTCAAATTCAGATAAGAAAAATAGATAAGATAGTGAAAATCAGATAAGAAAAATATTAAAGAGACACATTTTTGATGGTAGAATTAGATTTAAAGTAATCATGTATGCAGAGGCCACCATAGACTGGTTTGGCCCACTCATGGCTGCAATCTTATAATTCTGCCATTTGTTGGGCCCAATCGTCAATACAATTCTAGTAAAGTCACTGGTGCAACTGAAGAAACATTTTTGTTTATATTTTTTTATCAATGTATGTTTAAATAACCACTCAAAATATTTAACATTGTAACATGTTTAATTGTCATTGTACAATATTCCACTTCTTAATGACCAGTGTATAATCGCCATATGGGAAGTCGGAACCTTGGACAACCCCCCCCCCCCCACATACCATTCCCAATAAAACACGGACACTAGGGTATATGGGTCAAAATTGTCCATAGCTTTTATTAAATAGTAATAACTTAACATAGAAAAAAACAGGTCATTGCCCCATACTCAGCCCTCACAACCGTATCCTTCTGTTAGATATAAAAGACCCCAATATAAAAAACAATTATTTATAACATTATTCCAACATGAACATAACTTAAAGTGCCAGCATTTATTATTGTGACGAAGTGCCCTTCGCCACTTGTGCCTGGAGAGGACTGCTTGCCCGCCTCTTGCCCTGTGACTATGGACCCTGGGAGATTTGGCCCGTTCAATTCAGTATGATAGGAGTTATGTATTTTTGTATCCTTTTGTGTTTTACCTGGAACATGTGCTCAATGGAGTCTGCTTCTATCCCTGGATAATTGGATTACTTTCCCCATTGTCTCCAGGCTAGAGGGCTCTGTAAAACCAGTTTGGGCCAGATAGCCATGCCCCAAAAGATACTTTACTAACTTCTGAACCCCTGGTCTGATTCATGCCATTTTTGATATGTTGTTTCCCTGAATGGATTGATTGTGAATATATAATTTTTATGTGGATGTGATGTATATTTTAGAAGTTATGAATGCTGTAAAAACTGTATTATTTCTGGCCAGCAGATAAGTGAGCTTTGTGTATTGTAGAAACTCAACTATCTAGCCTGGCCCAGAGGAGGAGTTTTGTGTTGCATAAATTGTGAGTTCTGTGTGCCAGTAAATGAGTCTTGTTCCAGCATTAAGCCTTGGCTCATGTTTGGGGGATTGGAGAAATACACTCTGGGGATTGCTATAATCACTATACTCCCCAGGGTATGATCACTAAGTTCTGCTAAGAGCTTGTTCCTGTTCCTGCTCTCTGGGGAAAGAGAGGTTCACCCACTGGAAGCTGGATCCTGGCCTTGGGTCCAGGGTGGGTGGAAACAGCAGAGACCCCGGCGCAGTTGCATCGCTGGAAGTGGGGTCTGCAGTGCTGATGGTGTCGGTTGGAGTGCTTGGAGGCCTCAGCGAGCACTAGGAGCATCGATTGGCGGAGGTACTCAGTCGGAGTGCCAGCGGTCCGTCACAATTATAAATTAACCATGGCAGGGGCATACCCGGATACCCCTACCCCACCAGGTTCTGAGCTACGGACAGGACTCGAAACCTACAAACTTACCAATAACCACATTTTGCCATTTCCATAATCTTCCAAATGGGGAGCCTATTTCCTCTCCTTCAGCTCCCAACCCAACTGAAAACCAAAACCAACGAAGGGTGGGTGGGACAAACTCAGCCAGGTAGGTAATTAAAAGTGACTCTTTCCAAGATGTCTGCCTATTTAAATAACCAAACCCCTTACCCGCCTCCTAACCCCTGTCAAGGCCCCTTTCCACTAAGCTGCGCTTTTGCCACATGGGGCTACGTCAGAGAGGGCTCTAAAGGGGGCATGGGGCAATAGCCCCTCAAGGACCATTAGCACACAGTGTTTATAGACTGCAGTTTTACAGTACTCCAGGCAGGGGTGTACCTAGAGCACTTGGCACCCGGCCGGATCCTTTATATGGCACCCGACCCCATCTCCTACCCCATCTTTAAAATGTTGAAAACACCCACAGTGTTTTAAATGTTTTCAGGAATATTCATTGCAAAAAATTGTAAACTGTATGTTAGAAAGAGTCCCCTCACGGCCCAATTAGAGACTACAATGGAGTTTAGTGGGCACTGACACTCTCTAACACTCTGGCCCCCCATTCACAATATAGTAACATAACATAACTCTCTGATATCAAGCCAAAGTTGGCTCTCCTCACCATACTTACTGGTGCTGGCTAGCTGCTGTGGCTGGCAGGCTGGCTAGCTGCTGTAGGAGGCAGGTCGGCTGCTGTGGCTGGCCAACTGGCTTCCCCTGGCAGGCCTCTTTCTTCTCCCAGCAGAAGTCTGTTTCTCCTCCAACCCCTTTGTGTGTCTCTTTTTCCCCTTTCCCAGCCACTCTGTGTGTCTTTTTGCCATCCCCAAAAGGAGGAGCTGGGATAGTTCTAAGTGGCCTGTAGTTTCTAGAGACAACCAAGCTGCAAAACTGTGATGATAATGTATAGTATCTCTGGAGATGTTAACAAGTGACCACAGGTAAGACGAGACTGTGCGCATGACATTGATAAAACATACCAATTGATATCAGTGTGCAACGGAATCAGAGTCTAACTCTCTTAGACATGCACAGATCTCTGTGAACGCTCCATTGTGCTGAGAACGTCATATCACTAGAGGGTGTAGAGGTATTTTATGTCACATCATGCGACATTTTCCACCCTTCCCTGCCATTATCTCGTCTTTATTCATATATATATGTCCCTTCCTTACACTATGTCAGCACCTAGCAAACATTTTCATATCTGTTTATAAGGGATACTCTTAGTACCATAACAGCTATAGATCAGTGTCACGGTTATGTAGTTATAATTCTTTACTTTAGGTTATGTCAAACTTCTTTTTGAGCGGCTTCACTGATACTGCCAGGAAAATGCTGAAGCTCCACTTTTGCATTATCCACACAAATCCATGTTTACCAGCACAGAGTACTTCATACCTTCAAACTCCATCGTTCAGAGAATCAAGAAGAGATAGGAGGGAGATAAAGGGGGCGGGCCATTGACAGGTTTGGGGTGGGAGTGGGTCCGCTCAAATTACTGTCAGGTCAGCCTGGCTGCCTGTCCATCATACAGGCAAGCCAACTGAGGGCAGACCCTGCAGCGAGCATGGTTCCAGTACTCACTGAAGGGTCCTTGTGCCCTGAACATAGTGAAAACACGTCTAATACTGCACTTGCGCTGTGCTTGCTAAGGGCAGTTCCCTAGTGTTGAGACAGGACTCGAAAATCAGGACAGTCCTGCCATAATCAGGACTGTTAGGAGGTCTGGTATCTGCACACTGATACTTTTTAATACTGTTATTCTCCTGCTAACTCTTAACGTACGTTTATACTGTTTATACTGTTAACACCCAGTATTCTCTGAATAACTGCTTCTTGCTTTATAAATATGATTGCTTTGCATCAAAGACTCAGTATGATACGCAGTGCCTCGGCGTTTATATATGTATATATAGTGAGCTTTAAGAAACATAGATTGCTATTTTGTTGTATTTATTTATCTAATCTGCCTATTATCACAGTCATTTTAATACTAGCCATTAATATGCTACATAAAATTACCAGCTTTATTCTTGATTTTTTTATGAGTTATTTCAGACTTTTCCCTTACATGTGGAATTAATACTGTTCAAACATTTTCTTTGATTTAAGCAGCCTTACAATGTGATTTCTTCATTATAGGGGAATTCCAATAAAGCAGTACTATGAAATTACGCAGCTCAAAAAGAGTAATGTCCGTGCTAGTGATGACCTGTAAGTACCTAGAATAAATAAAATAAGAATATGTGGATATTTATTGCACAAATTTGTAAACTGTATATTAACTTGTGCTTAGTGCATAGCGCAGAGACAGACAGAATGTATGCAAAAGTGCCAGGTAGACTACAAGAGGGGGGGGGCAAACTTTTTTTATTACAGTAGTTATTGGGATGCATGACGGCACCACTGACGGGTCCCCTTATCATAAATTCCCCCACCCCACCCTTAATTTAAAAAAAATGCTTGTAAGAGAAGAACAAGGAGCTGGCTGGGTGTGATAGGATTTGCACTCCAACCAAGGCTGGCTGTATGACCAGCAGTACAAATTAAGCAATATGGGTTTAACTGTAGCTTCAGTCTGAAATTGTATATAGGTTTTATACTTAATCACAGAATGTACGTGTTGATAAAATTCTTTCAGATTCAATAATATTATAACCCCTCCCCCCCCCAAAAAAAAATAAAATAAAGTACAGTAAAACCAACAGTAATTTGTGTAATAAAGAGTCCCCTGCACCCCCTTAACATAAATACCCTCCCCCTTAATTAAAAAAACCTGCACACCCCTCACACCCTCCCAAAAAAACCCACCAAAGCATACAGTAAAACCAACAGCAACAGTAAGTTGTGTAATAAAAAGTCCCCTGCACCCCCTTAACATAAACAAAGAGTCCCCTGCACCCATAATAAAGAGTCCCCTGGAGTCTGGACACATCCTCTACTTACATTTGATAATGCCTTGAGTCTGCACTGACATGCTCTGCTCCGAGCCTCCGACCACTGGTGCCTAACGGATGACGCATTCTTCCGCTCCTCCTGAAAGGTTCCACGGGATGCCTGTCTTCTGGTCCCACCTTATCTCGTGCCTCCCCCTTACCACAGCAGCTAAAGGGTTAAAAATTATTTATTTACTCACCCGATTCCAACGCCAATCTTCCTTGGCACTCTACCCCCTCCACCGTTATCCAATGGGGGGGGGGGCCTAATGCGCACACGCTGTGAGCATCTCAAGCGCATTAGACTACTTACTTACTCTACCTACTCTCGCAGGTTTTACTAAGAGGCAGCAAAAAGTCTCGTAGTTCTCACAAGATAATTCAAGGTTCATTTTTCCTACCCAAGCAAGCAAGAGTCTCTTCCTGCGTCTATTTAACATACCAAAACCATCAATATAGCAGTTTTCTTTAATTATGTCCATTGGCATTAATGTCATTGTTTTATTATGTATGATGCAACTATGCAAATAGCACAATGTATCTTACCTGGATTAATATTTAAAAAATAATGGGGAAAAAAAACAATAAAAAAATAAAATACAATTAAAAAATTGCAGTAAGCAATAAATGACCTTTAAAATAACTAACCTTAACAACTGTTTCCCCTTTATAGGTATCCGAAACCACCTTCTGCTTCTATTAAGTGAGTAAAATATGTATCCAAACAATTATACAATGAATATAATCATGGGTGTTATTTTATTTATTAGTGTACATAATAATTTATATACTATAGAATTAAAGGTATTATTAATAAATATGACATAGTTTATAGAACATTTCCATAATTTAATTATAATAATAGTGACATCCAAAGTCATCGATCAGATATATACCCAATTAATGTTTTCATTGCTTACCTTTTCAATACAGTGACAGACAACTTGATGTGGAATTTCCTGCAGAACATCCCTACCATTCCCATATATCCAAATTTTCTATGTTTCCGAACTACGAGCCTCCAGAGGACCTGGCACATTGCACTCCTGTACTGCACCCACAATGCCCAGCACGACCCTATTCCACCATTATTTTGAGAAAAACAAAAGGTATCAATATCCCATATTGTGTAAGCATCTGTCAAAGCATCTCATTGACAATTTAAAGTAACAGAATGCAGCTGGAAGGAAATTTTACTGAAGTGGAAAGTTTAAACCTTCAGCCACTAATTATATATTTTTACCGTGATATTTAAAAACACACTCAAAGCACCATAACCACTTCAAATCACTGTTGTGGGTATGTGCCAGGAGTAAGTAAGTTGTCAAATCCCTTGCTAATAATTTGATAGCTTACCTGGGGACCGCCAGGCACTAGTTACATGCTGTACTGAGAACCTGAAGCTCCTGTTAGATGTCTCAGAGCATCGCTGACTACCATGCTGGCCATAGCTCAGTCCTGAGAGCTTTCGGCACTTAGAGGAGGTGATCGGTGCAGAGCAGACCTCAGGTAAGTTGTCAGAATTGATAGCAAACAGTTTGCCATTTCACTCACCAATGTAAGAAGTCAATCCTGGCACCATAACCACTACAGTGCAATGTTTTGCAAAAAGAGCCTTTTATGCATAATCAACATCCCTGGCAGTTGAAACATTTTAAACATTAAAAACTGTTTATAAACAATTGACATACAATGAAAAAAAACTTAATATGTCACTCTCAGCAGTAGAACTGGAAGAGTTAATTTAGAGTTCCATATGTATGTTAATTTATTCAACCAGAGATAATTTCAAATCTTTTCACAATCTGAGGAAGCAAGGTGCATTGGGAAGACTTTCCTGGTGTGAATAGGCAGCATTACATTCTATATTGGGGCAGCTGAATGGGGAACTACTCTTTCCCACATTAAATTAAAGGGAAAGGAGGTTTAGTAGAAAATAAAGGAAATTGCAGGGAATGCAGGTTAGCTAACAGAGGCAACTTCATAACACCATAACCACTTCTATAAACTGTTATGTTTATGGTATTTGAAGTGTGCAATAAGGCCCCACGCTCCAAGTTCGTTGCAGTATTTATGGTGCTATGAGCCTGTGGGCGCCATCGCCTGGTTTTCTTTCAGACTGCTTAGGAGTGATTTGATAAAAATGGGTGATTTCCCCAATGCATATAAATTAAATCTCAGCAAATTGTGCTAAACTGACCAATCACACAGGTTTGTGACTATACCTTCTCATTTACATTTAACTTTATAATTTTACCACTATTGAAATGCTTCGGCCTCCCTTGAAATTGTGCCTTGGTACCAAAGGCGTAACTAGAAACCATCTGGCCCTGGTGAGAATATTGCCCTGCCCATCCTCTCCCCCATGTGTCTCATTCCCCCACCCCCAGTGCAGCGTGCTCCCATCCTGCCAGTCACCCAGTGAACAGGCATCCCGTCACTGACGTGATGCCGGCCCACAGTCACAGGGTCAAAATACATACCAAGAAACAGCCGGGCGACCCAGAGTGACAAGCCTGGTTGCAGCTGTGACCCCTGTAACTACAGTAGGTATGCCGCTGCTTTTTAAATATCCATTAATTATGCATCACCTTTATTTTGTTTTCATATTATTTTCTGATTTGTCTTTATTCAGATCAATAAGGAGATATTTTGTGATTTTTAGGAAATCCATACAGGCATGAGGTGATTTATACTCCCCCTGGTTCACTAAAGGAACGTTTGGTATGGCCAGGACAGAACGGATATTATCACGTAAGTATTGGGGGTATTTTGGGGTTTGTAGGAATAAATCTACAATACATTTACAAAGATACTGTAAAACGAGAATAAAAAAAGGAAAAGAGGAAAAGTAGCTAAAATATTTCCTACCTTTATTCCCTATCCATATTTTCAGTTTTTTCTGAAAATGTCTACATGAATGGAATACTGTGTAGCACATAAACACTTGTGAAAGGACCAAGTGGAAATAATTGAAGCCAATTGGGATTTTATAGTATGTGATAAGAACTACATCTTAAGCACAACTGTACAACAGAAAAATTCTCACAAATTCTTAACCTACACAGCAACATACAAGTGCATGTTTAGTGTTCCTTTAATAATTTGGCGCTCATTATTTTTATGTGAAGGGCAGATTGCTTAAAAAGTCTGAAGGATTGCCTAGAACCGTTTCACTAAAAAGCCAATTGCTAGGAAAAAAAAAACTGAATTGCAAAATTGAAAAGTTTAGATTTGGAGATGTTTTCCAAATCCGCACTTTTTACATACATTTTACAATTTGGATTTCATTTCTCTGCAATTTGCTCTTTAGTGAATAAATCCCACACTGTAAACATGATCTAAGATAGCTAAAGGATAAACAGAACAGAATTATTGAATTACAATAATAAAGAGAGCTCTGTGAACAATGACAGTTTATACACTGTTGTTGAATATAGATATTAAATGTTTAGCTAGAAAAGTTCAGGTCTTTGGCTCCCCAATTGTCCCCTTTATTTTTGACAGATTTTATAGTAATTATAATAATCCCATAATTTCCCTTCACATGCCTGTAGGTTTTGAAAGGCATTGAAAGGGAGCTGTATAGACTAATCCTGACTGTACGTTGGATTTGTAGGTGTACTTATTAGGAAGTATAGCTCTCATTGTCTGTATGATCATGAGGTAGAAAAGTGGATCACAAAAAACAAACTCTTCCTGAACACTGACAAAACTGTCACAATGATCTTTGAAACAGTACCTAAATTACACAAATTACACAATTCCCACCTATCCATCAAAACAAATTCAAATACCACAGTGACCGCAGTCTGCTCTTTCAAATACTTGGGTATGTTAGACCCCAATCTATCTTTTGGCCTGCACATAGAAAAGCTTGCATCTAAACTTTATCCAAAACTAGGTGCCCTATACAGAAATAAAGCCTGCCTAAGCCCTACAGTAAAGGAAAAGATTGTACAGCAAATGCTGATGCCAATCATTGATTATAGGGATGTACTATATGCATCTGCATCGCAATCCCACATTAATGAACTCAACACATTGTATAACTCGTTCTGCCGATTTGTGCTACAATGTAATTACAGGACCCACCATTGTGACATGCTAAAAGAACTAAACTGGCTGTCGCTGGAATCCAGATGCACTCTTCATCTTTCCAGCCTTGTGTTTAAGAGCTTTTCTGGGAAACTCCCAGCCTACCTGAACACAATGCTTTCTTCAGCTGTTCCCACTACCTATAAGCTCTGATCCAGTACCAACACTTTATTTAGTCTACCTCAATACAAAAAGAAAGCAGCCCGATCCTTCTCCTCCTACAGAGCACCGCAATTGTGGAACGACCTCCCGCACAATTTAAAATCTCCCCTAAGCCTAAAGTCCTTCAAGAGATCCCTCTCTACATACCTCACAACAGAATGCACCTGGCATGGTGGATTATATATTTCCTACCTGTTCTATGTAATTTTGTATTTATTGTGTATTAATAATGTTTTTGTATTTTATTGTATCCTAATGTAACAATGCAATGTTTTGTGGACCCAGGACATACCTGAAAACAAGAGAAATCCATCCTGGTAAAATATTTTATAAATAAATAAATAATTTGACAATTCAGAAATTTAAGACGGCACTCCTACCTTCTAGGTTACATGTGCCTACATACAATGAATTGTAGGTATAAAACAACAGGTACTGACATTGTTGATAGATACAAGAGTTGAAGAGGGCCCTGCTGAAATGGGCTCTCAATCTAAGAGGAATGAAGAATACAAGAAGATCAAAAAGTGTTGTTTGAAAGTAGTTCTTATAGGCAATGTAGAGTGGAAGGAGAAAAAAGAGTTAATTGGACTGTAAGAGTATAGGTTATGCATGGAGGGGTGAGTGCTATTAAGCCTTAACAAAGGCTTTCAGATGAAACATTGGGAGGCTTTTTTTAGTTTGGTATCCTCTTCTTTTCACACAAAAATCTAAAAAAAAAATTGTTAATTGGATTGGTTCCTTGGTATATATTTTGGTTCTTTTGTATTCATGCAACATATTGCCATTGATGGTTGCATGTCATTACCCCTTCCTTATTTTGTTATTCTTGGGTTTTTCTTGTCTTTTCTTGTCGTTTTTTGGGGGGTCTGTGTGACCTGTGTACATATAGATATTGCTTAGGATATTTAGTTCCCGGATTTATATAAAGGTATTATGTACATGTCTGTATTTATTCATTATATTTCATTTTTATTGGTTATGCTCCTCATTCATTTATTATTTGGTTTATTTTTAGACTCTGCGGGGAACAAAGTAATTGAGTGAGCACCCTGTTTTCATTTAATTTTATTTATGTTTCTCCAAGGCAGCTATTAACTCTGAGGTGTGCCTTCCTTATTAAACTTTTGTATCATGCGAGAAGTTACCCATTAAGGTGGTGATCTTTCCTAAAGAGATGATTATGTTTTTTTTTGATAGACCCCTAAATCATTTTAGCTTGCTTAAATGCTTTATGTGTGACGAGTGTGTCCTTTTTTCACAGCCTGTTATGAACTAATGTGGCCTATATTAGGATTCTAATGTAACTGCACCTCAATGCCTAGTTTAGTAAACTATTATTTAATTTATACACGAGGAGAGATATTCAGGAAAGCTGCTACTTTCTAAACAGTGATTTTTCGTCATCACGAAAAGGCAAAAATTATGCAGAGTAACTACAGCCCGTAAAACCTGTTTTAACTAGCTAAACTGGAAAAAAAGGCAGTCTAGGACATCATGCTCCTCTTTAAACTTCCTACCGTTGCTATAGAGACCTCAAGTAGACTATTATAAGCACAGTGCTTGTGCCTTGGGGCTGCACAACCTCCCTAACAGCCTATAAATACCAGATATGTCCTGCGTGGCCTACAGCAGGAATGGCTTAACGTGGTATTTAGACTGGCTGAGCATTATGAGAAATGTAGCTACAATCTTAAATGTGCCTTATTTTGCGTTTTTGAGTTTTCGCTTATGTTTTAGGCAAGTCCTACTGGACATGGACAAAATAGCGTTAAAGGGTTACTGTAACTCTTAATTTTTTTTAAGCAAAAATTTCCTGGGTATTACTAAAAGGTCCCCTGTTTAAATGATGGGGGAAAAAACAAACTTTAAAACTTACCTGTAATCCAGCGTCTGACGTCAGCAAGGGGACTTGCAAGGTCCAATCATACAGAAGCCTGTGATTAGTCCATTTCAGAGTGCATTTAGAAAGTAGAAAAGTGAAATTGAAAAAGCAATGCAGGGAGGCTGGGAAGCAGAGAGGGATGATAAATGAAGGGAGAGGGGAGAAGCGATTATTACGTCTATTGCTTGCAAGCTGTGCACCCTGACAACTGATGTAAAATATGCACAGAATTGACAATAAACAGCCCAGAAGAAAGTTCTGGGCAGCCTAAGCCACATGTGCCCCTAATTAGCCGCCGGCGAACAAGTGCAAATAATTCTGAATGTGCAGCATGTCAAGCTGAAAAGCTGCACATACAGACTCCAACCACCAGGACCACTTTAAATCACTGAAGTGATCATGGTAGTTGGAGTATACTTTAAGCATTTAATGTAAAATACACTACCTGGGGTGTGATTTTTTTTTTTTTTTTTTTTTTAGCCCAATGTATTTGTCCGTCATGACAATCTACTTGTCTTAACACAAAATAACTTAAATTAAAAAGATTGTGGGCACTGCCAATAGCTGTGGACATTAGCAATGCTATTTGCTGAACTCTGAATTGCCATAAAATAAATCTGAAGGGAAAAATGGACTCAAAAATAGCTAATGTGAAAACATTCTCTATCTATGCTATCGTCATAACATGGTTATTTTTGCCTAAGTTTTGACATTACAATTTAATTTTCAAAAATTCATAGACTTGCAAATTACCCCGTTTTTTTTAACCACTGGTCTCCCATATTCTCCCTCTTTTTCATGTTGGCTTTTTATTATTGTGTGTGCTGGCTGTATGTGATGTGTACGTGATGTGTTTGCACTGGCTGTATATGATTGTGATACACTGATAAATACACACAGACACATACACAAACACAATGCACTCTGACACACTTATACACTAACACACATTGATCCATACACACAAACTACACATTCTTTGACCCTCACACACAGCACAGACTACCAGCAGCAGTCTGTCTCATGCTGTTGCTGTACATTACGGCATGTAAGCTACCGGGATATGGCGTCACACTGAATCCCGGTTGCCATTTTGAGGATCAGACGCTTCTCCAGCCCCTCAAACCTCCCTGTTAGCTGCAGTCGCCCCAGTTATGGCCTCCCAGTATGACAGTCTGGCTCTGCACATGAGAAACACTACCAGCCTGGCACCAATTTCCCTAAGACAAGCCTGCCGTTTGCCCACACCAAGAATAAAAAATCATCCAGATCCATAGGTATGTCCCTTCTCGGTCTCTCCGCTCTGCCCGTGACCACCTCCTGTCCGTTGTCCGCACCCGTACGGCCAACTCGCGCTTGCAGGACTTCTCGCGGTCGGCTCCCTTCCTATGGAATAGCCTGCCTCCCGCCATCAGACTCTCCCCTAGTCTTGCATCTTTTAAGAAGTGCCTTAAAACCCATCTCTTTAGGAAAGCTTATGGCCTCCAAGACTAACCCCTACCTCACATACCTGTCTCTTGCCCTCTCCTAAAGGGCAGCCCACCTTATTTGATTGCAAATTCCTGTCCTAATGTGTTTTACACCCCACCTCCTATAGAATGTAAGCTCGATTGAGCAGGGTCCTCTTCAACCTATTGTTCCTGTAAGTTTATTTGTAATTGTCCTATTTATAGTTAAATCCCCTCTCATAATATTGTAAAGCGCTACGGAATCTGTTGGCGCTATATAAATGGCAAAAATAATAATAATAATCCTGCCCGGGACTCCATGTCACGGGCAATAAAGATTCCACATCCCTGCATGATATAGATAATTACACATTAAACAATTGCAGGTGTTGTTAAACTGAAGATATCACAGGATACTTTCTAGAAATTTAGACTGGTGGGAGTTCTGATCATTTCTTGAAGGTTATTCTATAACATTTGATGTGGACTGTTGGTGCTGTCTATTTTACCTACTTCCTTTTTGTAACATGAGACAGACAAACTGCTAGCAGCGTATATGAATTAGGAGGTGGTTAGCATAATGTTTACTGTATAGGGACTGATTACATGGGAGAACTAGTGAATTATACGGTAATACAGTAAATAAGGTAAAGTAACGTAAATATATAAACTAGGCTTTTATGATAAAAAAAAGAGATGTTTTACTCTAATATCACTAATGTTTTATAATTTTCTTTATTTAGTTTCCCAAAGGTCATCAGGAGAATGGACAGACTTTCTATCCTATGCCCCCGAAAACAATGGCTCCTAATGCTTTATCTAAATCTCACGAGGACACATTATCTGATAGGACACTAAATTTACAAAAAAATATAATAAAGTCACAATGGATAACATCATACAACCGCAGCTTCACTGGTACGCAAGATCAGTAGATAATTCAGTCCTGATAAATATATATGAATCCATTAAGTGAGCAGTGAGTTGAGAATTTTTTCCAGATCGACCGTTTTGTGTAAAATTTTCAAACCTTTTGTCACCTCGCCACAACTCAAAGGGACAACAGACTTGAGGCAGTAGTCAATTTACTGAACAAACATTATTTAGGATGAAATGTCCCATAGCAGTTAAAAACATATCTTTTATTGATATTGTCTCCACTAGTTTCTGTTATCTTACAGCTTTCTGTTTCCTTGGAATCTAGCATTGCTCTTTTTTACTCTATTTGTGAATTTAAATAAAGTGTAATTTATTTAAGTAATAAAATGTTTCAATACAGAAACACAGACAAACTATGAAAGTGAGACTCACAGGGCTGCTTGCTAAATTCTGAGTTACTTGAAAGACAAAACTGAAGTTGAAAAAGCCTATCTGTGACATTTTTCATATCAGCTATTTTTACTTTCATTTTGCCATTCAGATTTTAATTTTATACAATTCAGAGTTTAGTTAATAACTCAGAGAGAGAGAAAGATGGATTCACATAAAAATCACCAAAGAACTTGAATTGTATTACACTGAAATCTGTACTGTAAAATGTAGGTTAAAATAGCAGGTTGACCCCGCTCACCTCCAGTTACAGTTTGGCCATTTTCGCCCAGACTTAAATACAATTCAGCTTTTAGTGAATATCCCTCCAAGTCTGATATCAGGCAAAGGTTATACACTAAAGTGAAATTTCAAAGTACATTCCAAATTTAAGGCAAACATAGCCAAAAAGGAAGCATAGCTGAGTTAGAGATTTCTTTTACCAATTCATCTATTTTGACCTTAAATTTGCAAATGTCTTTGAATTCACCTTGAATTCTTACGTTAGTGAATAACCCTGTACATTTCAAACTATAGGTCATGCCTGCTGAGCTGGGAAAAAATATTCAAGTCAGCTATATTGTTTGGTACTATGACCTATAATCAGAAGATCGTTTTGAATTTATACGTTCGATTATAATCCTTCTAAAGGAAGACGTTCTTTGGAAAACCATAGAGATACATATGCTCAGACACAGATAGATACAAATTCACACACACACACACACCAATCACAATTACAGATGCACACAAAAAAATATTTGAAAAAGTTTTCTAACTAGGTTATAATGATAACTTACCTATTATAGCCACATTTTTGCAGTTTGGCTTCCAGTTAAACAAACTTCACTGTTTGGTGAATAAAACCCCATGTATACACCAAGTCCACAAATTCTATGGTGTAAATATGTAATGTCTGATGATTTATAACTGTCACTTTTTCAGGTCAAGGTGAAATGAGCCCTTTGCAACTGGATGACTTTCATCAGAAGCGTTATGACCAAATCATAGGGCAGAAAGATGAAAACACAGAGCTGGTAAGATATGCTTAACTGGACAATAACCTCCTTTTTCAGAAAGACTTGAATCACTGCCAAGAAGTTTTTATTTGGAAATGTTTTGTTTTTTGTTTTGTTTTTTTTCTATAAAAATTATTCTGAAGAAAAAAAACCCAAAAAACGCTGTGCTCATACCACAGACAGCGGCGGGGTAATAGACGTTGTCTGGGGTCCCCCTTATGCCTGCTACAAATATCCCCCCTGACCACGTAGGCCACTTTTAAACCTGGATCGTTATCCCCCCGCCACCCACTGAGACTCGCACCTGCGGTGTTACATCCCCAGTGCAGTGGGGACTGTGCATCCGCAGGTTAGCCTCACGATAGTGCTGACATGCTCATTGAGATGTATATACTTTCGTTTTGTTCATTGTTTTCCCCCCCAGTTATATGTTATGTTCAACCCCTGCCCACCCACCCCTCTGGAGATGCTGACCACCTCAGATTATGCGTGTAGCAGGGACAGCCACCACAGAGGAGAGGAAATCGAGAAAGATGCTGCCCTGTGATGATAGCGAACCTATACACCCCCAACACCAACCAATATGCCTTCATTAGGAAATCCCTGAAAAAGCTGGACAGACTATGACAGGGCCAGACATACGTATGCGGAGACTTTAATTGTGTCCTAGACCCTGACCTCGACAGATCGGACAACCCGGGCTCCCACTCTTGCTCCGCCGTTCTTGGCGAGAAACTCTCTGCACTCCTACACTCCCATGGCCTACATGACACATGGCGTTCACTATACCCAGCAACTAGGGACTACACTTTCTACTCAATGGTCCACGACAAATACTCACGTATAGACATGTGCCTAGTAGACATGAAAACCCTGGACACATTGGCCAAGGTCACTATCGACTCTATTACATGGTCGGACCACGCCCCCCTGATGTCCTCCTTCATCACACTGCACCCAGTCAGGGGACGAGGACAATGGCGCCTCAACGGGTCGCTCATAGATCAGGCTGAACAAACTGTACAGCTACAGGGTTAAAACTAGGGGGACCTGGCACCCAGACCACTTTGTTGAGTTGAAGTGGTCTGGGTGCCTATAATGGTCCTTTAATTCTACTTTCGTTATCCCCCCGCCACCCACTGAGACTCGCACCTGCGGTGTTACATCCCCAGTGCAGTGGGGACTGTGCATCCGCAGGTTAGCCTCACCATAATGCTGACATGCTCATTGAGATGTATATACTTTCGTTTTGTTCATTGTTTTCCCCCCCAGTTATATGTTATGTTCAACCCCTGCCCACCCACCCCTCTGGAGATGCTGACCACCTCATATTATGTGCGTAGAGGGGACAGCCACCACAGAGGAGAGGAAATCGAGAAAGATGCTGCCGTCCGAGCAGCACTCAGGGCCCCCCTGGCCTTATCAGATGACCCCCCCTCACCAATTTAATGTCCTCTCCTTAAACGCCCGTGGCTTGAACACACCACAGAAGCGCAGGCTCGCCTTCTCCCAGCTCCACCCGATACATGCCTCAGTAGCCTGTATACAGGAGACCCACTTCTCTGTCACAAACCCCCCAAAATTCTTCTCGGCCAGATACCCCGCCTCCTACCATGCGCTGGCGCCCAACAAAACAAGAGGAGTCAGTATCCTATTCCACTCAGATTGGGATTTTAATTGCTCAACAGAGTATAAATGTGTTGAGGGTAGACTGCTGATTCTAGTTGGCAACCTCAATGGGGTCCCTGTGATGATAGCGAACCTATATGCCCCCAACAACAACCAATATGCCTTCATTAGGAAATCCCTGAAAAAGCTGGACAGACTACGACAGGGCCAGACATACGTATGCGGAGACTTTAATTGTGTCCTAGACCCTGACCTCGACAGATCGGACAACCCGGGCTCCCACTCTTGCTCCACCGCTCTTGGCGAGAAACTCTCTGCACTCCTACACTCCCATGGCCTACATGACACATGGCGTTCACTATACCCAGCAACTAGGGACTACACTTTCTACTCAATGGTCCACGACAAATACTCACGTATAGACATGTGCCTAGTAGACATGAAAACCCTGGACACATTGGCCAAGGTCACTATCGACTCTATTACATGGTCGGACCACGCCCCCCTGATGTCCTCCTTCATCACACTGCACCCAGTCAGGGGACGAGGACAATGGCGCCTCAACGAGTCGCTCATAGATCAGGCTGAACAAACTGTACAGCTACAGGGTTAAAACTAGGGGGACCTGGCACCCAGACCACTTCATTGAGCTGAAGTGGTCTGGGTGCCTATAATGGTCCTTTAATTCTACTTTCAAGAATCTAACCTCTGTACTTCACAGTATATAACTTATTACAAACTGACCTCTTAATATAAAGTCAGAAATTCTGTTGAAATCATTTGTACAAAACACGTAAAGGGCGCATTGTATAAGCTGATTGTCAGTCAGGAGTCCCAGCATGAAGATGTAGGTCATTGCATTAGTGAAGCTGGGATTTTAATGATATTTTGTTTCCTTACTGGTTCAAAAAAGATTAAAGCTGAATAAATCATTGTAAATCAAATATAACTTGCCGACCCTTTTTTCATATAATACTTCCTTTTATATTATACGAATTATATTAAATTCCATTCAATCCAGGTACAATTTTGTAGTGGCACTGCCGAAAAATAAAGGGAACACTGCGCACTGGAGAGCACCAGCGAGTACCCAGAAATGTAGTAAATATTTATATTTACCTTACCTCTCGTTACTAGTGTGAGCAAAGCCACTGAAATAACAGTCCTGAGAGTAATAGTGCACTTTCAGGATGCTTCACTGAGGCACCAGCGCCTCTGTGGACAACCCCCACGGCGATCAGCCCCTGGCCAAGGGAAATATTAATTATGAAAAAACATAAAAACATTGGAGGTTATGCATCAAATGTAATGTGTTCTGAAAAGTTGTGCAAAGAAGTAAAAGTAGAGGAGTCACCAATGGAATGTGACTGCTGGTTCTACTGGTTTCCATAGTGATTGCCCTACTTTTAGTGCTTTAGACATTTTTGAGAGCATTACTCTTACACAAGCATCATCAGACACCCACAGTACCACACACACTGGGTAACCCGCTAACAAACACCCTCAACCCCCAAACTTAAAATCACACACAACATACAGCATTGCCATGTACGCAGCGGCGTACATACCGCGTTCGCAGCTACGACCGGGCCCATTACTCCAGGGGGCCCGGCCACCCTGCGGATCCCTGCAACCGGGTACCCACCATCACCATTTGCAGCCCCGGCCTGCGTGGCAAACCCCTGGGGCCGCCGTCCAAGGGTTACATCACAAGCTGGGAGGAAGTGACTCCCTGGTCACTCCTCCCAGCTAACACACAGACCACGTGGGAGGAAGGAGGAGGGAGTCAGAGTGGGAACTCTGACTCCCATCAACCTGAGCCACCACTGGGCCCCAGGGAATGTCACCCTCCTGCACCTAAAAGGTAGGAAACAGGAGGATGACTAAAATATTTTGTGTGTGTGTCTGTCTGTATGTATGTCTTGTATGTGTCTTTGTATGTATGTGTTTTTGTATGTGTGTGTCTTTGTGTGTGTCTTTGTATGTATATATATATACATATACACACACAGTTGTAATCAATATTATTGAGCTGTTTGCAATTCACAAAGCATTGAAAAGTATTCGAAATAGCTCAACACAACAAATACTTCAAGTGGTTTCCCCAAATTCAACTGAAAATGCAACTTGTAATGACTTCTCCAGTCTCAAAATTATTCACCCCTAAGTAGAATCCCTCACAACAGCACAAATATGCAAAATAGGTGTTGTGTATGGCACACCTGGTGCAACTAATCAAGTGCTTCATTAGTCTTTGCTCATCTTGAGCTGGAACACTTGAAATACCCAAATGGCTAAGGATTTGTTGAGTGTCATGTTTGACTTCATGTTAGCAATATAGCTTAGTCAAAAGAATGGACAACAAATTTAAGAGAAGAGATCATCGCCCTTCACAAACAAGGAATAGAATACAAAAAGATAGTGAAGGCATTGAATGTTCCTAGAGACATCATTGAAAGCATAGTTTGCAAGTTCAAAGTTGAAGGAACAGTGGTCTCACTACCTGGATGGGGCAAAAAAAAGGAAGCTATCAATGGCTGCAACCAGATTTCTGAGAATTTTCGGAGAAGTTTTTCATGCCAGAACTCAAAGACACACACCACTACTGACCCAAAAATACAAGAAAAGTTAACTCCAGTATGCTCAAAATCATATAAATAGGCCACATAAGTTTTGGGATTCTTTGGGATGCTTTTGTTTCAGCTGTGGAGCACTGAAACAAAACTGGAACTTTTTATCCCTATTAATCTATGGTATGTCTGGAGGAAGTAGAATGAAGCATATGCTGAAAGGAACACTCTGCTTCAGTTAAGCATGGTGGTGGCTCGGTGATGCTCTGGGACTGCTTTGTATCCTCTGGCATTGGAAACCTGCAGCATGTGGAAGGCAAGATGGATTCATTGAATTATCAGGAAATCCTAAGAGAAAACATTATGCCATCTGTGAGGAAGCTGAAGCTTGGGCGTCATTGGACCTTCCATAAGGCGGCACAGGCAGCCGCTTTAGGGTGCACCGACCTGGGGGGGCTTGATTACAGTGACCAGCATGAAGGAAGTGCACAGCGCTACCTCCTGCCAATCACTTAGTGTAGCGTGGCCAGGCGCAACAGACCACGGTACAGGAGCTTCCGTTTCCTGTACCCGGCCAGACTGACAGGATGTGCTTACTGGGAAAGCACTTCCTATCAGTCCATCAAGGTACAGGAATCAGAAGCTCCTGTACCGCGGTCCGCTCCACTCCACTCGACCACGCTACAAGAAAGGTAATGAGGCATGCAAGGGAGGGTGGGGAGTGGACCACTAAGGGAGGGGAGAGGTACACTAAGGGAGGGTGGGGTCACTAAGGGGGGACCACTAAAAGGGACACTAAGGGTAGGGACCACTAAAAGGAAGACTAAGGGGCCCAGGGGGGCCACTTAGGGAGGTGTGGGGAGAAACACTAAGGACAGGGGAGGGAAAATGAACACTAAGGAGTGAGGGAGACCACTAAAAGGGAGGGAAGGGAGGGGAGAGGAACACTAAGGGACAGGGAAGAGAGAGGGAGCATACCACTAAGGGGGAGGAACACTAAGGAGGGTGGGGACACTAAAAGGAACACCGGGGGGGGGGTATTAAAAGGAACACTAAGGGAGGGACCACTAAAATGATCACTAAGGGTGGGGATCACTAAAAGGAACACTAAGGGGGCTGGGGGGGGCACTAAGAGACAGGGAAGGGAGGGGAGAGGACCACTAAGAGAGGTGGGGGGAGAAACACTAAGGACAGGGGAGGGAAAATGAACACTAAGGAGTAAGGGAGACCACTAAAAGAGAGGGAAGGGAGGGGAGAGGAGAGGAACATTAAGGGACAGGGAAGAGAGGGGAGGGGACCATTAAGGAGCAGGAAGAGTAGAGCACCAGTAATGGACATGGAGGGCAGGGGCGCCTTGGTGGGGAGAAAGACTTACAGAGGTTCTTGAGGTGGTAGAAAGACACACAGATGGGGCTGGGGTGTAAGAAACACACAGAAGGGTCTGGGGATGGAAAAACAACTGTGAAGGGGGTGAAAGAGATACAAAGGGGCTAGAGAAGAGGAAAAAGAGACAAAGAGGAGCTAAGGGGAGACAGACAGATTGGGGGTGAAAGAGAAACACCCAAAAGAGCTGGGAAGAGTAAAAGACACAAAGGTCAGGGACGTATTAGCTGCGAGGCAAACAAGGCATTTGCCTTGGGCGGCATTTTTCAGGGGGCAGCAAAAAACGCCGCCCCCAAATGCCCAGGGCAAATGCCTAGTTATCCTCGCGGCTAACAGACGTGCCGGGCTGGGCGGCGCTGGCAGGCAGCTGGCGAGGGAGCTCTTCCTCTGAGCACTCTGCTCAGCTCCCTCACGCACCGCAGAGTAAGGATGACGTCATATTCCGGCTCCCAGCCTCACTCTGTGGAGCGCGAGGGAGCTGAGCAGTCAGCTCAGAGGAAGTGCTCCCTCGCCAGCCGCCCGCACAGCAGCCAGCGCCGCCCAGCCCGACCGGCAGCCACTGGACCACCAGGGAGAGAGAGACCCCCCCCAGCACTCCCAAAGGTAAGGAGGCTGGGGTGGGGGGATTTAAAAAAAAAAGTTAATGTGAGTGATTGTGTGTGTGTCTGACTGTGTGTGTGTGTGTGTGTGTGTGTTGTGTGTGTGTTTGTGTCTGACTGTGTGTGTGTGTTTGTGTCTGACTGCGTGTGTGTGTGTGTGTGTCTGACTGTGTGTGTTTGTGTCTGACTGTGTGAGTGTGTTTGTGTTTGTGTTTGTGAGTGTGTGTGTGTTTGTGTCTGACTGTGTTTGTTTCTGTGTATGTGTCTGACTGTGTGTGTGTTTGTGTCTGACTGTGTGTGTTTTTGTGTCTGACTGTGTTTGTGTCTGACTGTGTGTGTGTGTGTGTGTGTTTGTGTCTGACTGTGTGTGTTTGTGTCTGACTGTGTGTGTGTGTGTGTTTGTGTCTGTGTGTGTGTTTGTGTCTGACTGTGTGTCTGACTGTGTGTGTGTTTGTGTCTGACTGTGTGTGTGTTTGTGTCTGACTGTGTGTGTGTTTGTGTCTGACTGTGTGTGTGTGTGTTTGTGTCTGACTGTGTGTTTGTGTGTGTGTGTGTGTGTTTGTGTCTGACTGTGTGTGTGTGTGTCTGACTGCGTGTTTGTGTGTCTGACTATGTGTGTGTGTATTTAGAAGGTGGGGCGGGGGGGAAGGGTTGGGTGGGTGTGGCGCGGGGGAGGGGGGCGTCTGAGTTTTGTCCTGCCTAGGGCAGCACAAAACCAGGATACACCACTGATAAAGGGGGGTTGTAAGAAATACACAAGGGAGGTGTAAGACACACAAACTTACCCAAAAATCCTTGCACTGGCCCCAGGGCAATTAATAGCACAATCCAGTTCGATCTTGGCACAGGCAGGGCACATAAAGCAGAAACATTGTTTCAATTTCTCTTCCTCAATTTACTATGTTCAGTGACAGAAAAAGGCAAAGTTTATAACAACAATTGATAGGGAATGAAGACGTAGACACTTAATATAGCAGTGTGGATTTCTGCATGTAACTTTATTATACACACCTCACGATCACATATCTGTTAAATATAGTGGATAAGTTAGCATGATACTAAAATCCTAGGAAAAATAGCTGAACTGGATACACTTTTTAAGTCAGAGATCCTTCCAGTTCAGCTACTTTGGCCTTAAAGGGACATTATAGTCACCAAAACAACTTTAGCTTAAGGAAGCAGTTTTAGTGTATAGATCCTGATCCTGCAGTCTCACTGCTCAAATCTCTGCAATTTAGGAGTTAAATCCCTTTTGTTTCTGTCCATGCAGCTCTAGTCACAGCTCCCTGGTTGTGACTCACACACCATGCATGAAAAAAATTCTTATTTCCTGCTCTCTAAAGTGAACTTTAATCATACACAGAATGCTTCTGTGGCGTCTAGCAAGCTATCAACAGTGCATGGGATAATACATTTTAAACTAAAAAGAATTTGCAATGAAGGAAGTATAAACATTAGCTGACTATTTACAGGAAGTGTTTAGGAATGCTTTGCAAGTCACATGCAGGGAGGTGTGACTAGGGAGCACAAACAAAATTATTTTACTCCTAAATGGCAGAGAATTGAGCAGTGACACTGCAGGGAATTGATCTATACACCAAAACTGCTTCAATAAGCTAAAGTTGTTTTGGTGACTATAGTGTCTCTTTAAATTTGAAATTCACTTTGAATTCACTTTGAAGTCTCGCTTTAATAAATAAACCTGTAAGAAAACATATTTAGTACGGTTCAGTACAAATCAGTCATAATTTAAACCTCAGAATATTTATTACCATCTAATTCTCATATTAGCATCAAAGTGCCATTTCAAGTTTGAAATTCAATTCTTTAACTTTGCTTTTTACAGAAACAGACATTTACATCTGCCATTTTACAAGGAGGACCACAGGAGGGTCAAAATGATTATTTACAAGATGGATGTCAGAAACCTGGAATGAGAGCGGAGCTACAGAAAGCATATCCAGAAGTTCAGCCTTCACAAAGCAGTGAAGCTCATTGTGTTGAAGAAAGTGATACCTATCAGCCCACTCATTCTACAAGGCTTCCTGAGTTTGGCAATGATTCTTTGGCATTCTATTGTGACTCGAGTAAATACCCTAGAGAGCAGGAAGCCGTATGCTATACGCCCTTAAAGATTCCACCAGATTTTCGTAAAATAACTGATACAGAACTATTCGATGCTTTGTACAGAAGGCAGCTTACTCCAACGTCTACAACAGTTGAAGAAAACCAGAAGCCTCCAAAATCATTATGTTATGAAGAAATACAACCAAGTAAACTAGCTAACTTTATGATTTCGAAAAAGCCATTTAGTCTTTCTAAACCACTGATAAAGAACAAACCTGAGTGTGACGTGCAGGTAACTAAAACCTTAAAAGCTGAAGAAAATAAACATATTGCAAGAATGCCACCCACCAGAGTAATTTCTGGCAAAGAAATAAAAAGGCCTCGAACAGCCTCTCTGGAACTTCAAGACTCATATATTAAGTCAGAGGTGTGCAAGAAGTTTCATCAGAATTTTCCAGAGAAAACAAAGGATCTAAGAAAAAATCACTACTCTGGGAAAAAGCATACATTCTATGGTTTCAATTCTTTTTATTTCCATAATTAACACTGCTGATGTGTAAAAACAGACATATAAAAAACATTCTAGCAACATTGTCCATGCCTTGTTCTTCATTCACTCTTTTTGTGTTCACATTTTTCGTGATGTTTCAAAAATAATAATGGCTGCAAATAAAGCCTATTATAGATTTTAGACATTTAACAAAACACTGTTTCTCATATCTCATAAGAAACAGGCTTTAGAAAATAATATTAGTTTTATTCGTTTGGGTTGTAATGGACACGCTACAATTTCTGGAAAAACATTCTTAAAGGAACACTATAGGGTCAGGAACACAAACATGTATTGCTGACCCTATTGTGCTAAAAACACCATCTTGCCTTGGATTGGCTAAGACTGTCAGCCAATCTAGGAAAGCATTGGATTGGCTGAGACTGTCAAGGAGACAGAGCAGGGACAGAGCCAGCATAAACCAAACACAGCCCTTGCAAATCAGCATCTCCTCATAGAGATGCTTTGAATCAATGCCTTTCCATGAGGAAAGTTCAGTGTCTCAATGCAGAGGGTGGGGACACTGAATGGCTTGCTTCTTCTCTAGAAGAAGCAGGCTTTAGAAAATATTAGTTTTTTTAAAGGTTTTTTTTGTTGTATTCATTAATGGACACACTACAATTGCGCACTGTGCAGCACTGTCCCAGGAAGCACCTCTAGCAGTCATATGAGGAGTGGTCAGTGGAGGTATCCCTAGGCTGTAATGTAAACACTACCTTTTCTCTGAAAAAAGTCTGAAGGGACTGATTATACTCACCAGAACAAATACATAGTTACATAGTTACATAGTTACATAGCTGAAAAGAGACTTGCGTCCATCAAGTTCAGCCTACCTCACATTTGTTTTTTCCTGTTGATCCAAAAGAAGGCAAAAAAAAACAGTTTGAAGCACAATTTTGCAACAAGCTAGGAAAAAAATTCCTTCTTGACCCCAGAATGGCAGTCAGATTTATCCTTGGATCAAGCAGTTATTACCCTACATTGAAAGATTATATCCTTGAATATTCTGTTCTTGCAAGTATGCATCTAGTAGCCGTTTGAACATCTGTATGGACTCTGATAAAACCACTTCCTCAGGCAGAGAATTCCACATCCTGATTGTTCTTACAGTAAAAAAACCTTTCCTTTGCCTTAGACGAAATCTTCTTTCTTCCAGTCTAAACGCATGGCCTCGTGTCCTATGTAAAGTCCGGTTTGTGAATAGATTTCCACACAATGGTTTGTATTGGCCCCGAATATATTTGTATAATGTTATCATATCCCCTCTCAGGCGACGTTTTTCTAAACTAAATAGGTTTAAATTTGTTAACCTTTCTTCATAGCCGATATGTTCCATTCCTTTTATTAATTTTGTAGCCCGCCTCTGCACTTTTTCTAGTGCCATAATATCCTTCTTTAGAACAGGTGCCCAAAATTGCACAGCATATTCAATATGGGGTCTTACCAGTGATTTATAAAGAGGCAAAATTATATTCTTGTCCCGAGAATGAATGCCCTTTTCATGCATGACAATACCTTACTGGCCTTGGCCACTGCTGATTGACATTGCACATTGTTGCATAGTTTGTTGTCTATAACAATTCCCAAGTCCTTTTCGTGTGTTGTTATCCCTAATTCGCTCCATTAAGGGTATACATTGCTTGTGTATTCTTTACGCCGAAGTGCATAACTTGCATTTTTCAACATTAAATTTCATCTGCCATTTGAGTGCCCAGTCCCCCAGTCTATCTAAATCCCTCTGCAGCAAAGTAATATCTTGCTCACATTGTATTGTTTTACAAAGTTTGGTGTCATCTGCAAACACTGAAACATGACTTTCAATGCGGTCTTCAAGATCATTTATAAAAATGTTAAATAAAAGGGGTCCCAGCACAGACCCCTGAGGGACACCACTTGCCACCTCTGTCCAGCTTGAAAATTTACCATTAATGACAACTCTTTGTACTCTGTTTTTAAGCCAATGTTCTACCCAAGAACAAGCATTTTCATCTAGACCGATTTCCTTGAGTTTGAACACTAATCTATTGTGTGGAACTGTATCAAATGCCTTGGCAAAATCCAAATAGATCACATCCACGGCAACACCCTGATCTATACTTCTACTTACTTCTTCGTAGAACGCAATCAAGTTAGTTTGACATGACCTGTGCTTCATAAAACCATGCTGATTTTTGCTGATAACCATGTTCTTCTCAAGGAATTCTTGAATATTATCCCTTAATAACCTTTCAAATATTTTACCAGCCACAGAAGTTAAGCTCACAGGTCTATAATTTCCAGGCAAGGATTTTGAACCCTTTTTGAATATAGGAACCACATCTGCCTTCCTCCAATCCTCCGGAACACTTCCTGAAAGAAAAGAATCTTGAAAGATTAAAAACAGAGGTTCACTTATTTCTGCACTTAGTTCCTTAAGTACACGTGGATGGATACCGTCAGGCCCTGGAGCTTTGTTTATATTAACTTTCTTTAGTTGCTGCAGCACCTTGTCTTGAGTTAACCAATTACAATTATTCTGCAAGTTTTTAGTAGCAATCATTTGCACATCTATTGCCATGGGTTCTTCCTTAATATATACGGAGGAGAAAAAGTTATTTAAAATTCCTGCCTTTTCCTGGTCTTCATTAATTAACACCCCCGTTTCAGTTTTTAGTGTACCTACACTTTCATTTTGTTTTTTTTTAGAATTTATGTACTTAAAAAATGCTTTGGGGTTGGTTTTGCTCTCTTCAGCTATCATTATTTCATTTTGAAGTTTAGCAAGTCTAATTGCCTTTTTGCACGCATTATTTGCATCCTTATATCTTTTATAAGATGCATCTGATTTGTCCGATTTAAATGCTTTAAATGCCCTTCTCTTAGTTGTAATCTCTTGTTTTACTTCTCTACTAAGCCACGTTGGTTTAATTTGTTTTAATACAATAAGCTGTAGTTGTTCTGGTGACTATAGTGTCCCTTTAAGGCCAATGTGTTTCTTAGCAAATGGAGCAATTAAGTCACTAGACTTGTGCACAGTGGAAAAAAATTAGTTTGGCCAATCACATTGTTACTCCGCCCTAAAAAAATGTGTATTTCATAAGGATAGAATCTTAATGAAATACTCATACTGACTGTGTTGGAATGTCACTGAAATTCCAATTTAGTCAAACATTATACAGAGACAAAGTAGGGACTACTTTGTCCCTACAAAGTAGAGACTACTTGGTCTCTACTTTGTCTCTGTATTTCTCCACCGCCTGACTTTCTTAGACTCAGGTATGAGTCTAACTGTCAATACCTCGCTGAACTCAGCTCTGTCAAGTTCTGAATGTTCCTCTAGCGAGTTCAAAGCGTTGCCATGGCAACTTTCCACCAGGTGGAATCTCGTAAGAGTGAACTCTAGCCGTAGTAGCTGCAAGTTATAGTTACCTCGCCACCAGACCACCAGGTATTGTAGTGTCTCCGATCTGTTTTGCTCCCATCTGCCTCCCACCACAAAATATACGCCTATACCTCTCAATACATACATACATTGCACGCCTCCCCCACACACTGCTCTCCTCACACACATACTGCACCTCCATATATACTGCACCCTCACACACATGGTGCACCACTCACACAAACTGCAACCCTCACACACACACTACATCCGTTACACATACACTGCACTCCTCAAACAATGTACCCCTACACACTACATCACTTACAAACCTTGCGTCCCTTATATATACACACTACACCACTTACACTACATTTCAGACACACACACTAAATCCTTTACACACACAAACAATCCCCTAAACACACTCTGGATCCTCTACACACACAATAGATCCCCTATAGACATGCACTGCACCTCTTTCTACACTTCTGACATACACACTCTGGATACCCTATGCAGGGCTGCCATCAGAAATTTTGGGGACCCTAACACTGCTCAAGGTAAGGGCCCCTGGCGTCCACCGCCAAGTTTGCCCACAGTGCCTGCCCCTGAATCTACCCACAAAGATGCAATGTGTGTGTGTGTAGAGTGGATGCAGAGTGTGTGTGTGCAGAGAATACAGTGTTTTTGTGTAGTGGATGCAGTGTATGTGTTTATGTAGAGCAGGGGTGTCCAAAAGGTAGATCCCCAGATGTTTTAGAATTGATCTTTTGATCTCCCTACTAGCTAGAGGAAGAGGGCCCAAAATCTAATAGAACACCGGTGTTCTATCAGATTTCCCTACAGGTAAGGGCATTTTACAGGGTAGGGAAATCTGATAGAACACCATGTCCTGACGAAAGCTTGAGGGGATCAAGCTGAAACGTTGACTGTACTGTTTTAGTGGAGGTAATAAAAGTTATATTTTATTAATAGTCCTTGGAGTGCTATCTTTGGCAACTATTATATATATATAAATATATATATATATATATATATATATATATATATATTGCATTTATGCTAACATATATAAAATGTATGTAAAATGTACTGATATAAAATGTCTTGAGTATTTCACCTTTGATTGTCCTCTATGTTCATTCCACCATTTGCTGTTATAGAACAATGTGTCCTCCCAGCAGGTAAACTGCCTGTGTAAGCAATTATAACGTGGAAACCTGATTGCATCAGAGAGAATGGAATGAGAGATCAGCTGACTGCTTTACTACATCTGTGCAGCCTGCCAGCTCAATGACATTCTGAGCAATACAGAGACAATGACCCCTGTACTACAAACCATTAACATTCTAAAAGTGAACCTAGGCCTAGGAATCCCCAGTCAGTGTATTCACAGAAAATGAAAGGATACATAAGTGTTTTGCTCTTGATAAATATGTTCTTAGTAGGGTGTTACACTAGCTTCCCATTGTGACTGCTGGTGCTGAAGAAGTGATGATATTTAATTAACATCTACTAAAACAAAACATATCCTTTATCATAAAATAAATATAATTAGTATATAAAATGCTATCACTTATTCAGGATAGAAACTAGTTAGTATAGGAAATCAAAAAGAAATAACACATTTGATAGGACAATTAAGAATATAGTTAATAAGTTAAAAAAAGAT